TTTGAGGCATTTCTACCGAAGGGAGAAAAATCATACAATCTCTTTAGTGAAGAATTACATCTATTGAAAAAAAAATTACCTGTATCAGCCTAGAAACTTTATTTTTCCAGTGGGATTTTTACCAACACCTGACCTGTTCAGCTATTTAGCTCTCATTTCCTATCACTTTTGGCTGACATACATCTGCAACAGCTGTTTCTGAATTTTATCAAACTGAGTTTACTAATGGTGAATGTTAATTCGTTGTGGCTGTAAGTAGACTGAAGCACCAGCTCATACAATATTTGATGTCCAGTTTACACTCCTTTTTTTCATCTTCCCAATTCATTACTTTTTGCTGCAATTCTTGCTGTCTGAAAGACTTTCACTGTTTCATTTTTGTGCCGTTTAGCTTTTTTGTTCATGGCACTGTAGGGTAGCGAGGTTTTTTATAACTCAGACCTTTTTCCTGCAGAGGGACAGCGCGATCCATCCGAGGCTCCCATCCATCTGGTGAGGCACAGACAGCCGCTGACATCGGGGCAGGTTTGTAAGTAGAGCACTGAGAGCAATTAGCATTTGAATTAAAGCTACCTGTGGCTAACAACAGGTGATTACCCTATTTAACAGCTGTTAAGTGGTGTTATTTGCCAGCTATAGACCACAGAGTGAGTGAATTGTATGCATACAAATGGGAGTTACTGTGAATACAAACGAAGGACGTTAATTAAATAATATATTTTAAATTGCAATTGTGAAACATAGAGGTGGACTCAAAACGGGTAACCGGTAGCAAAAGAAAGGGGTTTGGAAGTGTTTTAGAATGCAGGACAGCAACTCCATAAAGGCTAAACCCCTATGTTTTGGCATTAAGCGTTTTGTTCTAGAAACAGAAAAGCAAAGTTTGCTATTACACTGATTCAGCTTCTGACAAAAAGAAAATAGTAAGAAATTAAAGCACATAATGTTAGTGTTCAGGAACACATAATCACGGGATATGATTATATGCAGGTGCTTTTATTGAGAGCTCTGGGAATCAGGGGTACAGACCCAAATCTGACTCTGACATGGCTTTCGAGCTGAACCTATTTTATATTCTATCGTTATATAACTTACACAGAAATTATTAAACTTATATTGTTCTATTGTATACATTGACATGAGTTTCTTGTGATCTTTCTTAGGCCCCTGACCACAGTTTCTCGTGATTATTCTTACGATTAAACAGTAATTATATTTAATTACTAAACAATCATCACATCTAACAATTATATAATTTATCATGTACTAGCTACACAGGTGCAGTTCTAGCAAGGTACAAGGTCTCCATCTACCTATTTTTTTCTTTTCAGGGCCTACTAAGCTTAATTTTCCTTTTAACCCTAAATCCCCATGATTTTACAACCCTTTTACTATCAATAAGATTATTTTCTCCATCTGTTTTATCTCTGAGTTTCCAAGAAGACTTAATCAAGGTGGGTGTTCTCTGGAAGCACAGTGCTGTGCTCTGTGCGTGCCCACTTGGCTCGGCCGCCCGCTCCTCCTGCGCTGGGGGTGGATGAATCCCTTTTTGGAACATTTCTGTAGCATATGGCTCTGCAGCATCCTCTTCAGTCCATGTGGGGTCTGCAGCGTGGCTCTGCTCCGTGTGTTGCTGCAGAATATCTCACCGGCTCTGGCTGCACCTTTTCTGTAGAGGGTCTCCTTTGCTCAAAAGTTTTTCCTGTGAACCCCTTCTCCAAGGGCATGGATTTTCAATGACCTGGTTTTACTTCCCAAGGCATGTGAAGGTAATGCATCTACCAAGAAAGGCTGATTAGATTTCTGCTTTGAGTATTTGCTTGCACTTTACAAGCAGAATTATTTTATCAGTTATGATTGGTCTCATTGCTACTCCAGAACTGCTGGAGTTTTGTGTAAGTGCAACTGTCACAAATTACAAGATGAACTTCTTCCCTGTGGCACAATTATCCATTCAGCTAAAAAGCTCTCATGCCTGGTGTGTGCATATTTTCATTGCATTAGTATGAATAGAGGAGTCCAATTAATACACATAAAGATGTAGGCATTCAGTGCTTCCAGAGTACAGGAATGCAGGATAAATACTACAGCTTAGAAGGGATCACTGGTTTTTATTAATGAGAGCTGCCTGATTAAAGCATTTGCTGTTTTAGGTATTTAAACTGAAACTAAATTCCCGTTAACTGTGTGATTCTGGCCAATTGCATGCTATATCCAGCTAGAAAATTATTATACTGACAACCTTATTTAACTGAAACTTGATGTGGTTCAGAATGGAATCCATGTGCTATTAAGAGGCTCATAATGATTTACAGAATTTTAAGTTAAAACACTATAACCTCTCAGTCATAGCTGCAATGCAGAAAACTTGGACTGCTGACAGATGAGTCCTGTGCCATCAAAGCAGTTATTTGAATAATGTTCAGTAAGGGCTGGTTGTATAAACACCTTCAAGTATGTCCTTTTTGTAGGGTTGCTCAGGGATCATGATCTCAGTAATGGTGATGTTTATCCGTTCTTCCCCTGACTTTAGGCCAGAGAGAACCTCCATATTTGGAGGAAGACTCTATATATAAAATATACATAACTCATATTTTCTTTATTCTTTTGATATCAGGCAGGAAATGATATATTTTTTGCAGATAGCTTCCTGTCACAAGAATATTGAGAAGTTGCAGAAATTTGCTGTCAACCAACCAGTAATTTCTAAAGCCACCAGCCCTAAAATAGTGACAAAATCTGCATTAGTACAGGCACTTTTCAGCATGTACTGAGCTCTTGTGTGGGCCAGGTTATTTAACTTGCTTCGTTTTACAGCTGCAGGACACTTACCCACTGTGTGCAACATCCTTGCTATCAGCACGTGGGCATCTTGCCTTGTTTCAAGATTAGTGTGATAAGCACCATTTCTCTTTTTTCCTTTTGCCTCCTGTGCTTTGGTGATGTGTTTTGTGCTTGGAGTTTGTTTTCACAAACAGGATGGGACTGCTGGGGTAGTTCCTTGAGCTTTATTTGGAGCATCAGCCTCATTACATGGTTGAGACAACAGAAAGATGGCAAATGTTCAGTACAGCCAGCAGCAGCTGAAGATTTCTTTGTTACAGAGCACTTAAAAAACTTTCTAGCCAATAGCATATTGTATTCTCCAATAGTGCTATTGTTTAATGTCCTTGCTTGCATTGTCCTTGCCCATTGTCCTTGTCCATTGTAACCTTTTCTGCTTTCAGACTTTGCAGCTGCAGCTACCTCTCTGCTCTTTCTGTTTCTTAGGCCTGCTTTTACAGCTTTCTGGAAATCTCTTTACCTTTACTATTTCCCACAGGCATCTTGGGTGGACAGGAGGTCTCCTACCATGGGAAAAGCAGTGACAAAATGAGAAGAGGTGGACAGGCCAGCTGAGAGGGGGACAGCACAAGATGTACTGGTGCTGTGGCTGGGAGAGGAAAGCCCTGCTGAAGCTAAAGCAGCATGGGCAGCTCTTGGCACAGTGGGATCCAGGAATCCATCCTGCTTTTGTGATGCCTCCTTCCTGCTAATCTGTATCTGACAGGATTATTTCACACAATACAAACCCAAATCTGTCTATTTGGAGATAACCAGATAAAGTAAAAATATATTTAGAGACAGCTTGAGATTTTTTTTTAATTAAAAAGGAATTGTTTAAAGTGCAGGGAGAATAACAGTGTGTTCTCGATCAGGGACAGGCTTTAGGTTCAGTATCTGATGAATCACTGTGTGAAGTGAGAATTTACTTGTTTGGCATAGACTTAAAGCTGTTTCCCACCTAAGACAAACAGTTATTTTACTCTAAAAAGTCATGAGACAAAGGAACCCTCAAAATAACCTTGTTGCATTGCAAGAATATGTGAAAATTTTTCGGGGGGAGCATAGTATTTCTATACTGTGACTGATCAAAAAAAAACTCTTAAAAAGATTGTCATTTCTGTCAGCCACATATCCACGTGACTTACAAAAGCTGATTCATAAACTTAGTTGTTTCTTAATTACGACGTTAGGCTGCAAAGGAAATTATAGTATGTTGTAAATATTTTGATTTGCTCTCTGTTGTTGTGTTTGGCACATCTATCATAAGCAAAATATAGAAAATGCAGGTTCATATTAACTAACAAATTACTAATATATGAAAGAAATATGGCAATGGTGGTACTTTATTAGAGCTGCAAATCTTTTTTTATTAATATTTTGGCTTGAAAACCTAATAAATAAAGCATGAAAGAAACATCACCCAATTAAGGTCCTGCATTGTGATGGTAGAGCTACTGATAGAAGAGCTGTTTAACAAGATTGTAATGAATGTTCAATTATCACAGCTTTGGAAGGTGTTACACAGTGGTTTAATATATTACTTATTTTATTCATAATTTCTTTAAACAATGCTTCATATCGGTCATGCTTGTGTTCAGTTGTTTCCAATATTTTACAGGAAAAAGAAGGGCTCCAACATAGGTTTTCATTATTTAAAATTTAGCATCCCAATGAGTTTGAAAAGTGAGAAAACTAAACCTTATTAAGCTACTGGAGTTTTTTTTCCCAGTGCAATAAATAAACAAAAATTTATTAGTAAATAATACAGGGAATGCATCAGGCTGAGGAGGATGAAGTGCTCCTTTCAGAACAGAGACACATTCTTCAATGTTCAGATGCCCAGGGGTAATGTTTAATTAACCCACTCAGTTATAAATTCATGCCGACAATTCTTCATCATTATAAAACTCATAGTAGAAAAATGCTTCAGAAATTATCCTCTCTTAGACACCAGCTAATATCAACTTGCCAGTTGTTTCATCAGAAAACCATTGCAAATAAGGATGGTTTGGGGCTCAGGAGTTCCTTGGAATATTTTTATTTTCATTTGCTGCTAGTAGTGTTGTCAAGCAAGCCATCATCTTGTCCAGACTCACAGAATGGTTCTTGGTAGTCCTTCCCTCCCCTTCTTTGCTCGTGCTGCTCATGATGTCCTGCCCAAGTTCCCAAAAGTGATACTCACACCAGACATGGCCAACAGGGCAGAGCTGTCCCACAAGAGCACGAACTGGGGACACAAACCAGACTCCTCTTGGCCATTCTGATTGATTTCTGATATGCAGAACTACACCACAGTTGTGGCCATAATTTAGAATTACCCTTTGGATAGTGTGAGCTGGTCATGTCCACAGGATGTGTAGTTGTTGAGTCTCATTAAAGCAGGTTTAATATGGGAAGGAGACAGAAAGAGGGGAAGTCTCTTGTGTCCACTTATTGCTTTCCTGAACTACCCAGAGCCCACTGTTCAAATAAAATCTAATCCAAACTGGGCAAAGTGCATTTGGTGTTCCCTGCTGAAACCTTCTGGAATCCTTAAACCATCAGCTCTTGTGGTTCACTGAATACCTGAATGAATTATTTTCAACTGATTTGGCACCACTTCAAAGGAACAGATGGTTCCATCTTTACTGCAAAAACAATAACTGCAGCAACAAAAAATAATCTGTGATTCTGCCTGGAACCTATTCAAATATAAGGGAGAGCTCTTTGACCATCTTACATTCCTGACAATTACCTCAAGGAAGAAATCTATTTCCCAAGAAAATCACATTATAATTTTCTAAGCAAAGTATCACATCCATGGAGCAGTTGTCTGAGACTGAGAGAGAATGAACTGTTATGGATGAGTTTCTAATAGTGCCTCCCCAGCAATACAGCAGCTGCAAGGAGAGAGATTGTGAAAACATGGTGTTGAGGGACTTCACCAAAGCTAAAAATAAACTAATATATGTGACAAAGGAAATGGTAGAAGAAGAAGAAAATGAGGGCCAAGCTCCCAGAAGAACAAATGATGTGATTAGGAATATGAAGCAAAAGCAGAACAGATTTCAAATAGCCAAAAATTGTCCAGACTACCACCTACTTTCTTTTAGAGAATGTTTTTACTGGTCATGGTCTAGAAGGTTTGTTATAAACCAGTGTGCAGGCTATCCTATTCTTTGGAATAGGATTCTCTTGAATTTGCCTTTTAATCTCTAATATTTCAGCCTAGGAAAAGCAATATAATTGACAAAGTAATTTTCTGCATTATTGAAAAAGAAATAGATATACAAGATTAACATTAGGGATAAAGCAATAAATAGTGCTCATTGTATGTAATACATACAGTTTTGCAAGTTTTAGGGGAATATATATACATATATAAAGTGGCATTCATTAAAAAGTAAACCCGTCCCTGCATAGATTAGCTGTCAAACATTAATATGAAATCTCTTTTTTTTTTCTATACATTTCTATTTTTAAATCCCAAGTAAATTCTGCAGAATGCTAGTGTATATTACAGAAGAGATAATCTTCTGCATACAAGACCTATGCCAGTGTCAGTTTTCTGGTTTTTCTGAGCAACTCTAATTATTGGGAGTGTGCTACAAGAAGAAATATTTGGAGAGCTACTTTAGCTGAAGCAGTACTTAAACATTTAGTTACTTCGCTTTTCAGCTGCTTTTAGTCTGTGCTGTCCCTTCTGTTCAGATGGTGAAGGACTGCTTAAATTCAGCGTGCTGAGGATTTGTCCTCTGGTCATTTCACAGCTACATTTGATTCCTGACCCAACCCATTGCATGGACCTGATGATGGGAATGCTGCACAAGGGGAGGAGTAACTCCTAATGAGCACAGAGCCTGAAATTCAGCTCTGCTAGAGAGTGAGCAGCCGTCAGGCTGTGGCTGGCATGGATAAATGTGTTCCTCTGCTCCCGAGTCATGGGCTGTGCATGGCACTGAGGGAGGATTTGGGGAAGTGCTCTGGATGTCCAGGTGGTTCTCTGAGCAGATTGCTCCAGCAGACAGCTCCTGCAGCCTGGCAGTAAACGTGGGCTGCTCCCTGACTAAGGTAAGCTGGTATTTAACTGAGGGCTTCGAGAGCCCTGAACATCTGGCAGAGAGGCAAACAGGTGGAACCCAGCTGTGGCCACAGTTGCTCTTACAATTCTTGGATTGTATTAAAGCCTCTGAGGTGCTCCTTAGATTCCCTGTGGAAAGCACATTCCTGGTATTTTAACATATTGCCCCCAGCCTGTAGCCTGCTCCCTGCCCAGGGAGGGTTGCATTTTCTGTTTACATAATAGAAGCAACAGCAAGGAGAAAGCACCCCTAGGTTCTAAATAATTATATTTGCTAAGTGCACACAAGAAGCTTGACTGCACTCCCAGCACTGATCTGACTGATTTCTGACAGCTGCTTTACCCTGATGCATTGAGATCATCCTTACAGTGTTCACAGGATACTTACAGGGGCATTATTTTTCCTATGTGATGAAAATTATGGCAACAATTAGCAATCAGCAAACAGCCAGTAGCATGATTACTGACACAGGTAGTTTTTTGAAATATTTTGTGTATTTAACAGAGCAATTTTATTTTCCTTAAGTGCTGCTTAAATACTCCTCACATTCAAATATTCCTGGAGGGAAAAAAAGGCATTATATAAGAAAAAGGTTCAGGCTGTTCTTAGTGAGATCAATACAGCTCATCTGTTTATATGATCCTAAGGAGGATATGTTGGGTAAAATACTCTGGGGAAAAGTTCTCTCAGTGAATATCAAATGATAGAACTTCTATTTTATAATTAGTCATATTTAATTGCTATGAGACCTACATTTAAGCTTACTTTAAGAATCCGTTTTTCTATGAAGAAAGACCAAAGATGTTTAGCACACATGACTGGAGAAAAAAGGTTTTTTCAGGACACAGAAAAGGTGATGCAAAATAAAATGTCATTTTTTTCCTTCTTATATATTCAGTGGTTGTCAGTTCTTAGTTTTTTTATTTGGTACCTTCTATTTTTTGTCATTTTGCTCATGTTTCTAAATTAGTTGTAAATTTCAACCATTTTGTTGTCCATCAAAATCAGAAAACAAAGGAATCTTACCAAGTGAAAACTTTTGTTTTTCAGTGCTGCCTGTTCTGTCATTCTTAGTTCAGCCTCAAATTTAAGATCTCTCAGTGGGAGAAGATGGATCTTTGGTGAAGACTGACTTTATCACAGCTTGACAGTACTTTATTATCTGTCTTAGTTTTAGTGGCTTTCATGTTTTGTGTTTATTTAGCTGAAAATTGAAAATATAAACCAAGTTGCAATCAGAGCTGTAGGACAGCTTTATTGTAGAGTGCTGCACATGTTAAACCCTTTTTGCTACATGAATTTATTCTTTAAAAAAAAAACAAAACAAACCAGCTAAATTTTCAAGATTTGACCTTACTGCTAATGATGATGATGAACCTCAGGCTCTAAGTGCTTTACTGAGAACCCTGGAAAATGCCCATGGACACCCAAATTGAAGGGGAAAATAGCTCTGGAGTCAATCTGTCCACAGGATTCCAAAGGTGCTGGGAATCATCTGTGTAGGTACAAGGGTTTTCCATATTCAAGGAACCATGGAACGGTTTGGGGTAGAAGGGACCTTAGGGATCATTCTGTTCCCACCCATAGGCAGGGACACCTTCCTCTTTCCCAGGCTGCTCCAAACCTTTTCCAGCTTGGCTTTGGACACTTCCAGGGATCCAGGGGCAGCCACAACTTCTCTGGGCACCCTGTGCCAGGGGCTCGCCTGTACTGCTTCATAAATAATCAAATCTCCCTAAAAACCTGCTAAGCTGAGAAGTACAATTCATAGCAAAAGAATATTGGAGGAATGATTTGTAATTAAAAAAACTTTTCATGGGTGCTGGTTTCTTTCCCGGGCTCAGGAGGGCTCTCCTGCACAGGAGTTAGGGGTCCTGTTGAGTCTTTGGGTGATGCTGATACACACATGGGCTCTGCCTTTTGGGAAAGCCCTTCACTCACCCTCACCCTCAGTCTAGAGGGTTCCCAAAGCTTAGGTTAAACTGCATTTTCAGGCCACTATAGCCACTGTGTGTGGGACTGTTTGAAGGGAAATGAGCATCAGTCCCTTGCTGAGGCTGAAGCAATCCAACAGGAAAAGGTTCAAGAAGAGAAACAGATATATAGAACTCTGAAATCATATAGAAGTATTATTTTTTTAAACAATCTTAGCAAGTATTCTTTCTTCTGTTACATAATAACAAGATTAGATTATAGCAAGAACTTGCTCTTGTTTTGATCTGTGATATCTCAGCTTTAAAAGAAAGGTCTAACCATTTTCTTCCCCTTTCTCTTGCCTATTCCACAACTCAAGTTGTACAGGCTTTTCAAGGTCGAGTGTGCTCTCAGACCTTCAGCACGTTTCTGTTAGAGTGCTGTGATGTAGGATTGTGTTTAGCTGGTAGTCTTGGACAACTCAATTTGTTGTTTGGTATTTCACAGAGATATATAAAAAGGGACAATGACATGGCAGGTACATGGCAGGTGTATTCTGAAGATTTGTTGCTAATTATCTGCAGGAAACCATGGGAAAAATCATAAGAAATTTATGTTTAACTTTTAATGTGTTGCAGAATGTTGAAGGAAATAAAGGGGACCAGACAGAGGGGCAAGGAGGTGGGAATTCCTGTGATGGGTACTGCTGCTTCCACTTTTCTCTGCCTGCTTTGTGCCTTGCCTAATTAGCTTGTATTTAATCTCCTGGAGCAAAGAGTTCCCAACTCTGTGTTTGTCCATGACAATCACAGTGAGATCCTGCTAGAGGACTGTTCCAGCAGTGATAACTGTTTTCAGTGTCACATGTTCTTTTCTTTTTTTTTCCTAGTGAAAATGAGCAAATTAAAGACCGTAACTGGGATGTTTACAGCAGCAACATGGTGAACAAACAGATAAGGTAATTTTACCCCTTCTGTTAGTTACCAAAGCAACACTATAAAGATCCTTTTAATTTAGTTTAGTGCTGTGAAGATTAAAGCTTAATTAAAATGGTGATATTAAAAAAAAAATTAAAACCTGAAGCAGCATAGGAAAAATAGACAGATGTAATTATGGTCCAGTGAATGCTTATCACTTTTTATGAAGTTTTAGAGAAGAGGCAGTTTTTTCTCTCTATTGAGAGTAATTTTATTCTGATCATAAATTTGAATGACCGGAGCAACCTAGGATCATAGCTATTTATAAATTAATAAGGACAGTTGGAAGGAATGTGTTATTCTACTCATAAAATAGGGGGTAGTTAGTTCTCTTTTGCTGGCCCATTTCCTAAAAAAATTCTCTTTCATACCCATGAGGGATGAAGATTCTATAAAGACCAAAAAATAAAAATTCCTGTGTTCCAATATTTCACATGGCTTGCATAGAAATTCAGCTATTAGGTATTAAAAGATCTCTTACTTTCAAATTGTTTAATAGACATGCCTTATTGTGAATTTGAAAGGTTACATTTTCAAGTGGTTCTAACTGGCACCATTTCCTTTCATCAACAGAGCTACACTAATTTGTACTGGGTGAAAAGATATGTGAAGGACTTGATGTGATATAATTATTAGAAATTCCTCCAGGAATATGACTTTTGTTGGATAGTTAAACATCTGTTGCTTTGCCAGATTCCTCCTAATGAGTTTAAAATCTTTGTGGAGAAGCCATATGTTTGCCCAGTAGAAAGCAAACCAGGACACGACACAATATTCTTTCACAGCAAAATTCCAAGGAGGAATCTCTGCCCGTGACAAAGCAGGAGCACTGGAGGAAGAGCAGTTCCAACTTGCAAGTTTTGTTGAGAAGTATTTTTCCAAATTCTTCCAGAAGTGAGCTGGTGAGATGCCATAGCTGGTACCCTGGAGAAGTAGCTCCAAATACCACAGGACTAAAAATGCCCTTTTACTAAGTCCTTCTGTTCATCTTGTTTAAGCATTTTAAAACTATCTTTAACCACATATCACACATTACTTCTGGGCACAGAATCATTAGGAAAATTAGACATTTAGCCTTGCATCAAAGCAGTATTATATTTATAAAATACAGTGATGACTGCTGTTGGTAAAACTAAGCCTGGTAGCTTAACTCTGACTTTTTGCCCCAGGATGATGTGGAAAGCAAAAGGTCACTGGACTTCAAGGACAAACTCATGGGAAATGAATCCACTGAGATTGCTGAAACTGTGTCTGGCCCTGGATGTCTGTGCTGGAGGAGGGGGCAGCACACAGGTGATGTCTTTCATCAGTCTTCCCTGTTCTTGGAGGCTTTCCTTGGAGCATGTTTCACCTGTGCTGGAGGAAAGATATTACATTATTTCCTGCAGTTTTGGCCAGGTCCTGTAAAACAGTATTGCTGCCAAACAATTCTGGCAAACAAGAATTTTATTTTGAAAAATATTGCCTTTCTTTTCCTAAACAAGGTAAAAATGAATTTCCTGGCTTCCAGGCTGGCATATCTATCTATCTATCTATCTATCTATCTATCTATCTATCTATCTATCTATCTATCTATCTATCTACATGAGTTCTCCACAGGTCTGCAGCTCAATTAGTTATTCCAGGATACATTTTTGATTTTGGTGGCAATTATAAATCTCTCTGATGGTGTGATATAAATCTCTATGGTGGTGTTCCTGCAAAACTTAAAACTCTTCTAACCAGGTAGCTCTCCAGGAAACTCTCCCACACCCACCAGCTTGGACTTTGAGGAACTGTAGGTAATGGGCACATGAAGTGCTATAGAATTTTGTATCATCCTGGAGCAGGTACAGTTAAAAATTATAATAAATTATAATTGCAGTCTTAAGAAAAGTGAAGTATTTTTATTTACAAATAATTATTAGTCTCTAATATATGCTTTCAGAAACAAATAATAAAAAAGCCATGTAAATTTATTCTAGAATGCCATTGTACAATTTGCCCTGCCAGGGGCTCAGGCTATTTATGTTTTTGACTGCACCGTCTTCACTAAACTTAAAAAAAAAAAAAATTACCATGGTAACCACTGCATCACACAACAAAGACTTGTATACACCACTTAGATCTTTAAAGAGGCAGAGCCTGGAATGAAATTATAGTCTGCACTTTTTTAGTAATAATATTTTCTTTAGCAAATTCCCCTTTTGTTGTTTTATCAAATATTTTTTTATTTAAAAACAGCATATAAAATAGAGCATCTAAATTAATTCTGTTTTAAGAATGTTAACTTTATGAGAGCTGTTCATATAGCTGAGATCACTGAGCTGTAAGGGTTGATAGGGTATAGGTGTGAGATATTGATACTTTTTACTTCTGTCTTCCTATTAATTTTCCTACACTTTACTTTTCCATTTTACAATTTTTATTGCAGTGCAATGTGGATGTCACAGGAAGGTCACACTGGTCACATATATATTTATATATGCTTGATACATATATATATATATATATATATATATATATATATATATGAGACTACATTTTCTAACTGATTTTTAGAGGGTAAAAAAAAAAGAGTGGGGGAAGAAAAAGTGGAAGCCATTCCATCTGTCTCCAACTTTCTAGCCATGCTTTATACTTTCATATAAGAGCACTCAGCCCTTTGCTATTGCTGCTCATCCCTCACCTCTCAGTTCACAGGGAACACCCACACCCCAGAGCTGCTCTGGATGCAGGTAGGAAGTGTCACAGGGACCTGACACAGGAAAACTTGGAGCCCTGGTGGTTCTCCTGGCTGCTGCTTTGGGCTCTAAAGGCCTGATAAAGAGCAACAGGATTCCAGAGCTGAATATTCCTGTCTGCACATATGGCAGAATCAAACAACTGGGGGTCCATTTCAGGTAGCAGCAGTGAGATATACAATTATTTTTGTGCTTCAGAATAGATCTAAGGCAGAGAGCAAAGATCCTCTCTGACATCTGGGAAGAAGTCTGGCCTTTTGAATTAGTCCCATGGATTCCACTGAAGTGCCATGTGCCTGTAGATTTGGAGTATGGCCACAGCCTTGTGCCATATTATACAAAGTTTCTGGCAAAAGCTCTGTGTTGGTATAGCCCTGCTCATGCTGGAATCACTTTCTCACTGGAATAAGCAGTATTTGAGACTCCCTCTCTCTCCCTGCACTCTGAAAAGTCTTCATTTTTTTGGTAAGCAGAGATGCTTACTAATGTTTAGCTCTCAGCAATTCTTTTAATGACTGAATTACAAAACCAGGAAATATGAGTTTATAATAAAAATGACCGTACCATATTAAATATATATTATTAAATTAAAAATAGCAGGAGCAGTGGGCACTGTTTAGTTGTCCTTGCTTTGGTTTCAATCCCTTCTCTAAAGCAGCCCTGCTCCCTGCAGCACTGCAGGTAAGGAATCTGAGCACCTGGTGCTCTGACCATGCCACGTGTGGGTGTGTGCCTGCTCCCTGACTGCTGTCTCAGCACACAGCTGAATTTTCAGCTATGCTGCACCACTCCAAGTGGGAGGGGAGAGGCAAGAAACAAAGAGATGGGATGCAGTTATCATGGGATTAAATGCTTCCCTTTTATAATCAGGTCTATCAGTAGGAAATTCCCATAATTTGACTTCTCATTTACACATATACAACCAACTAAGTAAGGAAATACCAGTCTCCTGTTTTTTTGGAAAAAGGAAAGATCTTTCCTTTTGCTCCTGGTGCCTGAAGCCTTTGGATTATTCCACATTTTTCTGCAGTGCTCTTTGGCCTTTTTTGGGTAATCTGAGTATGTCTCAGCTTCCATCTATTGAACAATCATCTCAGACCTAATGGACGTAGGATAATCTCCCATAATCTGATATATTTCTGGCCAACTAAATTTTTTGGGGCTGCAATAGTGATGTCTGGGTGAAGTTTAACTGCCTGGGACAGTGTGGAGGGCAGAGCAGCCAGCAGCAATGGTACCTTTGAGGGAGGGCATTTTGGAAATAGTGAAAGGTTCCCTTTACACTTCATTATGCGTTAACAGATCCCATTTCCCTCATCCTTTCATCTGCAGGTGCTTACCTTCTGTCAGGAGTTTATCTGACTGAATCTGGAATGGAAGATTAGGAAACCAGTAAATTAATGTTATTTAAATATCTGTTAGAGTGTCAAATATCTAAACACAGGGTTGGGATTTCATTGCACCAGCCACTGATTCTGGATGTGCAGGGGGTTGCTGTGTCCATCAAGGCAATCCTTTACAATTAGTCATTCCTATGTACTATGTACTATGTACTATGTACTACTCCTATGACTGAGAGTTATTATTATGAGAGCTGCTAATAAATTACTTTTTGAAAGTCAATTTGATGGCAAGAGCAGGTGGCTGTGAAAGTAAAGGCAAAGTTTACCTGATGAAGCTGAAAGAGAATAGTGGAGCCAAGGGAGTAAAATATCCATGGATTAAGGTGGAGGACAAGAGGTAGTAAAAGTAAAATGGAGGAAGACTAAAAAGTGAAAGGAGTGCCAAAAATTCAACACATAAACAGATACAAGTGGTGGGCTGAAGAAAAAGAGGTGGTTACCTTACTTCAGCAGACTTCGTAAAAATTTCAAAGGGCAGTGAGTAAGCAAGGAGCTTTTTGAACAGTACAATGCTGCTTAGAGCCCAGGCTATGCAATTTATCCCAGCATATTGAGTATATTTAAGTATTTAAAATAGCAGTTTACATTACTATGGCAACCATGTAAACTGGCCACTTTCTTTCTCTGCTCCAAAACAAAAGGACATAAATCCCTCAAACATTTTTCTGCATATCACAGAGCCCTATAACCTCCCCTGTCAATTATTTCATGGTGGTTACAATTAAGAGTTTGTCTCATTGGCCCTTGCCACTTGTCTGTTCTACTTTTGTTTCTTTTCACCTGCAATATCTCCCTCAGAGTCAGGATCTCATTAATCACTGTCATTCCCAGTAGTACAACTCGACTGATTTTCAGAGATTACCTGTTACATGTAAGAAACACACTGACAAATAACCCCTTGAAATTCCATGTTTAATCACTGCAGTAAAATGCCATTTCTGTTAATATTGCAGTTTCTTCACTTTAGATAATTGCACCTTTCTTGATTGTCAGATATTCCGTGAAATACGTGGGGAGAGAAGAATGACTGAATCATTTGTGAAATGACATCCCCTTTCTTTTCCTCCTCCCCACTTACACCATCTTTATGAGACAACATGGAGAAAAGGATATTTTCCTCTCCAAGAGAGAGAAATAAGTTGATTGACATCAGGCTGGCATTCACAGCCCTGCCACCTGAATGCTGACCACACCAGTCAGAACAAGTCTCAGTCCCTAGACAGGATGGTTTTTCAGTAAATAGCATAACAAAATATATATTAAATAAATATCAAAATATATATTAAATAAATATCAAAATATGGAATAAATCCTTTAAATGCCACTGATTGTATTAACAAACAGTAGTTTTGGATCCAGCCTGTTTTCTTTTGCTCAGGACAATGTTTCTTCTGGCCAGCCCATGCCCACAGCAGTGACTGGTGAAGCTGAAACAGTGTTTTTGCAGTGGATATTACAATTTCAGAACAGTGTTACATCTCCATTCTTCTAAAGGAAGGTCCACTTCCTAAAAATGATGTGTTTACACAGCTGCTGAATCTTTTATATGCAATTTCTGTGAAAACAATGTCTCCCTGACTGCTTGCCTGTCAGCTCCTATTGTGAGCAATTAGAGAAGGGCAGTGCAAGCAAGTAAAAGTACTCTGGGTTCTTGAGATCTACTCTTTGTAAGAAAAGGACTTTGAGCTGGGAAATGCATTGTGGTACAGCAGTGCACAAGCAGTACTTTTTTTTTCCTTGTCCTGATTAATTGGTTCAGTGTTAAGTGAGGTAACAGTTTAAAGAACTAGCTCATTATGTGAAATTACTCTGTCTGCTGTGATACTTAAAGTCATCTTGCAACACTCTGGAGCTCAATGCATAAAATATTACATTGGTAAGTAACTCTCCCACTGGATAGAGCCTTTTCTTTCAGAAGTTAACTTAGGGATATGAGAAATCCATCCTTGCACAGAGTGTCTGATCCAGTGCCAGTGCCTAAGGATGTTCTTGGAAGGATTCCCATCTTTAAACTCTGGATTGGGGTCTGTGGTGCAGGAGCTAAAGTGCTGAGGGTTATACTTGCAGCAATAAAATATGGCATTACTGCAAATGTAGGAAAGAGGCTACAAGTACATAGGTTGACAGTGAAATACTGACAAGAAAAAGCAAGAGCTGTGTGAAGGCAGAAAAGGGGATTTTATAGAGGAAAAACTGGAAAATCACGAAGAATAAAATAATAGGTGTTTTTCCCAGGTTGCTCTCATTTGTTGTAACATACATGCAAGGAAAGAACAAGGTGTTTTTTCTCCACTCAGACAGGTAAATAGGATACCAGTTTCAAAGGTGTGAAGGATAGAACACAGACATCACACAGGGAAGTCGAGGGTGATTATTATGGAGCAGCCAAGGTGCAAATGTTGGGATGCCATGCACTTGCTCCATATCAGGCACCAGGTTTCCATAAGAACATGGCAGACTGTGCTTCTGGTGCCTCCCATGGCCCTGCAGGATCCAAAGATAAAAGTCAGAGTGTCCTGCAGGCTGGCATAATTAGATAGGTGCAAGATATATTTTTGCCCAGAATTACAGAATATGGTGGCAACTGGCAAAACAGCACATAATCTTGAAGGCACACTCAGCAGGGAAGGACACAATTCCTGCAGGGAGTTGTAGTTGTGTTTTTAAGGATTTTGTCCTCATCTTTACCAGCCTGAAGATATCAGACTCATCTCTAACTTACACCAGGGATGCAGTAATCAAAGCATGGTGCAGAAGCTTAAGTGATAAGCTCAAGATCATGTATATTATTTTGGTAATCCATTACAAAAAAAGACTCATGTATTTGCACATGTTGTGCCATGAGCTTTTGATCTACATATCCTTGTCTCTCTGTAATTAGAACTGTGTGTTATTAAAACCGACATCAGAATTTATAAGCTCCTGGTGCCCAGTCATGTGCTTTGAAAAATAAAGCATGCACGAGCAAATTAACCAAACCAGTAACCTCTCTGGACATTGTGCAAGAATTGTGGTATTTTGCATTGTAGCAAAGCTAGAAGCCAACAAAGTGACTGGTTTCTCTCCCAGAGCTACAGTGAATTTGATGGCATTGCACAGACTTGGACATATATTAAACAGAGCCATGTTTACTTGTGCTGCATAAGAATCACAGGGGGAAGGAAAATCAATGTTTTCCAAATGGAATAGAAAGGAGCCTTGAGGAAAAGAAATGGTATTTTCAAGCTTCTTTGAAAGGTAACACAAACAATGCACAGAGTAAAAAAATCTCTGAAGAAAAAGCACTTGCCAATGTCTTCTTTATTCTGCGTTTAACTTGTTTTGGAGGACTAAGGGATGGTAGGTCCTTAGTATTATTTTAAAAAGTGGGGAGTGTCTCTGTGGGAATAAGACTTTGGTATTTTGAATTGGAAGCTGCACAATGCATCTGTACATCTTGACAGCAACAGAAGACAGTCAGATTTTAGAGGAGCACTGAGATGACACTGAGAGTGCATGATGCAGTGGTGTAATGAAAGAGAGATCAATGCTAAAATGAATGTAACACCACTGAGGAGTACACACAGATCAATACTCTTGTAAGCCATGGAGTATAATCCTGCTATATAGGTCCTGCTAGATAGTACACTCAATTCTAGGAAGACAAATTTTTCTGCATTTCTTGAATGTACCTCTGACTTGTCTATCCTAAAAATAGTTCTTCTTTTGGAATGTAAAAGCTTGACTCTTTCTCTTCTCACCCATGTGTGCTAAGGAAAAAATACAGTGCTCTTTGTAAACTCCCAATCCTCAAAAATGTGGCATAGGAAGACAAGATGGACAGTCAGCAATGAGCTGTTTCATCAAGTCTTTGAAATATTGTTTTGTTCCTGTCCCCTCTTACTGCCCCCTCTTTTTCATTAAGGAAAATATTTTAAACACATTTACCGAAAATGTAGTCTCAAGAGAAAAGAGGAATTCAGTCTTACAACCTTCACTTATATTCTGCAAAAAGCTTTCATAAAATTTTTCCCATCTCCTGATATTGAGAGCTTAAAACCATTACAAAAAGATCCTAGAGTTTCTCTCATTTTTTGATGCCTGGATAGCCTTGGAGTCATTGAACTTTCATGGTTTGTGTCTTAAGTTGGCCAACCCATGCTCTCCCTGCCTAGGATGTTTGTTAGTGTCTGATTGATATTGTAAAATAATTTTTCTTAGGAAAGAGTAGATTGAGGAATTAATGGGAAGACCCTGCACTCTGATTTTATCTTTGTATTCTGCAGGGCCATGGGAGGCAGCAGAAGCAGAACATCAGTCTGCCACGTTCTTATGGAAACCTGGTACCTGATGTGGAGAGAGCACTGGGAATGGCATTCCTGTCTCATTTTTGTTCTGTCTTGTTTGAAGGCCAGACTTCCTTGAATAGACACAAGCTCTTAGAATGAACAGCTCCTGGATTTCATTTCTGCTGCAGACCTGACTGCCACTCTCGGTAGAAAGGGAAATGAATCTCAGCTTCTAATTTTCATCTGTCTTCTAATTTTCCCTAATGCAGGTGGGTTTTTTGTTCCTTGTAAATTCTAAGGGAAGCTATGAATTCTTGAGTTCTACTCCTCTGTTTTTTGAGTTCAGTTGTTTTTACCCATTTTCTTCAATTAAATGACTTTGTTCTGAATTTCTTTGCAATGGAAAGCATGCATTTTTCTAAAGAGTGGAGAAGCTAAAGCAAATAAAGATAAATTAATAAATACATAATTACAGTGTTGCTTCAGGGAAAAGTTTCTAGGCATAATCTAATAACAATGACTGGAGATAATATTAGTATTGTGTGTTGATTCTAGATCCCTTGGGATAGTCAAATAATTAAGCTTGTGTTTTCCAGTCCCTTTTGGCTTTAATAGCTATTATCATCATTAAGTGTAACCTGCCACAGACTTTGGTTTCTAAATGCCTTTGTGAGTCCAAGACCAGCTCTGTGTCCCCTCATGAAGGAAATGGTTTGATGAGAAATAAAAGTCTCTCAAGACTCAACAGTTCTCACTTTTGTTCCAAAGCTCTTTTCCTTCCAAGTATCCACAGCCAGCAACTTTTCACAGCTCTTGCTGAGCTGCAGTTAATCTTTACTCCTTCTGACACTATGGCAGCTCTAAAATGCCATTGCACTTGCCTGCATTTATCCTCCTTTTCCCCAGTGTTTGTGCCTGACCCCATCCAGTGCAGTCCTGGCTGTGGGTGCTGAGCTGGAAGGTTCAAACAGAATTGTCACCACTGCAAAGGCTGCTCTTAAGTAGATGCTCTTCATGATGCAGCCCTGGCTTCAGAAAGTGTAGTAAGAAAGCCTTCAGCCCTAGTTTCTTCCAGAATATTGCAGACATTTCTTTTGCTTGCATGGCAAAAAGCAAACACTTGTTGCAGGGGTTGTTCCCTGTCACATTAATTAGCAATGCTGGCAGCCAACGCAGCTCCAAGGGAGGGAATTCACTTTCCCTGATGCAGACAGAACCATTGCAAAAGCAATACACAGAGCCAGGCACAGCCTTTTGACTGATCTGTCACTCCTTGCTGAACTTGCCTGAAATTTATTGCCAGTTAGACAGCATTTCCCTCTGTTTACTGATTTGATTGAAAGGATGATTTATCAAGGCTCAGCATCACATCCAGTGCTGCTCTCTGCTCCGAAGGGTAATGAGTTGTAGACACATCTCATTCTCCTTCCCCACGTGGCTGCGAGGGTGATGGAGAAGGTGAAGTTTGCTGGCTCTGGCGTGCCACAGGCAGCTCTGCTGGGAGGGGCAGCAGCCTGCTCCCTCCCATTCCTGCAGGAGCAGGACAGGATGTGCCCTGTTTGTCAGGAGGCTTCAGGGACCTGCACAGAGACATAAAAGGAGCAGCTGTGGCAGAGAGGGAGTGGAATGGGAAAGGACAGCAGGAAGGATGATGACAGTGGCAAGAAAATAAAAGGGTTAGAAATACCAGCAAGTGAAATGACAGCTTGCTGTTGTCACTGCTGCTGTTCCTGCTGTCTCTGGGTGCCATGGCTTGGTGTTGATGAACATTTTTTTGGTTAACTACTGTGGCACAGACACATCACAGCACACTGGAAACCAGCACCTTCTCTCTGAGTGGATATTTATTTTGGTTGTGGAGAGTTTTCCTTAAGCAGCTCTGCTATTTGTTTCAATCACAACAAAACCATTGTCTCACCTTAATTTACAGAGTCATAACTAGCAGTATTTCTTTTCCGCATAAAGAGTGCACTGGAATAAATACCACTATTTATCAACTGTAATGCAGTTCTTTATAAAGGTCTTACGTGAGCAAAGAATAAAAATGCAATGATAGTCTCACAATAAATACCCTAAATCCTTTATTGCCTATTTATGGCATAATCTCTCAACAGTTGTACAATATATGACTGTTTAGAAAAATATCTAGAATACAGTTATATGGTTTATTTACCAGGAGATGGCAATGGCGATCTACTGCAGTATTAACTTGTATACAAGGCTCACATAAGTCTTCCACAACATCACAAACTTCAGTATGAATGAAACCAAAGTATTCCAATACTGCTTTTGCCTTCGTTGTTTCTAACTTATTTCAGTTGCTGTTATTAATTGTATTTTTTTCCTCTCATTTTTGATTGAAATTGCTGTCACTACATTTTTTAAAGATGTCTAAATACAATCCTCCTGGAATTTTAGAGAACAGAATATTATTTAAAAACAGAGCAGCCAATACCATTGAATAAGATATGCCACGTGTCAGAAGAAAATCAAATGATTGATGAAAGTAAAAACTTAAAAAAATGCACTTAGCTTTACAGTATCAAAATTGAACTTGAGCAGTTAATGAAAAATAAATTATGGGTTATGCTACTAAAAAGCAGGCTATAATTTTCTATTAAGCTGCTTGAAATATGATATTAAAGTATGCAGATGCCAACATTTTTATATACTTTGAAATTAACTGAGATCTGTAATGTTGTCTGTGTTGTTACATTACCTTAGCCTGTAGTAACGTGCTCATCATTCTTGTGAATTAGTACAGCACTGATCTTGATGTGAACATCACTGCCATAAACACTGGAACTTAAAGTTTGGTTTCTTATGGGATTGCTTTATGCTCCTTTGTATCCTTCTCCACAGGATTTCTGCTCTTCTCCCCAGAGCTTGCACAAGCTGAACAGTAAGTTTTTGCATGTGTATTAGGTATGTGGCAGATTTCAAACTGAAGCTATAGCAGGTGAGTCTCACTGTTCTCCCCTTCTCAGTACATCCCTGTCTTTTTGGAGTGATCCAGGAGCACTGCTGGATATCTAAACCTGCTCTGAAGCAGATCTGCACCAATTCTAGCAGTGACCATCTTTCTCCAGGGAACTACTCCCCTGGCTGGCTTTTCCTCTGGTGTTCTGAAATACACAGGCCATGTCTTAAACAATCACTGTGGGGCTCTCAGTTGGGAGGGTTATCCACCCTCAAGTTAAATAAATGTTTTAACTGAATTTGCTGTTTGCAACTTCAAATACCAGCATTATTACTTTTCCATTGCTCCTATTTTAGTGTTACTAAAAAAGACAGCAAGTATCTTTGATGTGTGAGGCTGTGAGAGGAGCATGGAATAGGTAATGTGTACTTGTCTGAAACAACAGATGATAAGTGGGAAATACCCCATTTTTTTTCTCAGGTGAAAGTCTTGATTTTTTACTGTTGTTACTGTATTGCACTTAATTTTCTAGAGTTCTTCTTCAACACAGTGTCTACCTTTCTACAATATCTTTCCTTCCTCTGCTCTGCATTAAGTGGTGCTCAATCAAACCTTATCTCTACAAGGGAGAAAAGCAAATTTAGAACATACAGAAAATATTTCTCTTAAGTCTGCCCTCTCCACAGCTTCCTATCAGGAAACTTTTTTGTTGGGATCTGCCTGCTCAGCATTCATGATGTAGAGGAAGAGCTGGCTCCATCTAATCAGTAACAGGAGACCCCTGTGTCCACAAAAGCAATCACACATTTCACATCCACAATATCTTTCCACTCCACAGACCCTACAGGGTACAACAGGAAGACAGAGGTAAGGAAGACCCTTGTCAGTCTTTTTTCCAATAAGGAAATCGATCTGTGGAGCAAAATGAACTGAGTGAGTGAAAGCAGCAGAAGAAATAGGGAGTAGGATTTAGAGTCTGTTGGCTGCTGGTGCCTTGCTGTATCAACCAACCAAACTTTCTGTTTCCCTCTCACATTTCTGTATGTCTTTAGATTCCTCTACACAACAGCACAAATCCAATCAATACACTCAGTGCTGGATTCCTCCCTGTGCACCAGGGCAGCCACAGGATTCACCCTCTGGAGAGGTTCTCCAGCAGCTCTGGTCTACCAGGGCTGGGAATCACCCCAGTGGTGTTCGTGCCTCTTCAAAGGACAAATCTTGAGAAAGGGCAAAACGATGTTCAAACTGACAGCTGCTCACACAAAATCCCTTGTCTCCACTGCTGGGTCTCTTGCTGTGAATACCCACGTTCATGTCAGCTGTGTGCAGGGAGGAATTATAAATTTCACTTTTCCTATCACTTATTTAGCTCCCTTGTCTTACCAACACAGATTGTGCTTACGTTCTGGTACAGACTAGAGATACCGATGTTAGCTTGAAAGGAGTCAGCACAACCATCTCTTTACTTTGCTAAAATCTGTCCTGTAAACATGCCAGACTGCAGGCTCTTGAGAGTGGGACTGTTTACAGCCTTGTTTTTACATTGTTTAGTACAACAGGGCCAAAGAAGTGAGCCTTTGGGTGCCCCATGAGCTCAGATAATTTTCACAGTGACCCAGAGGGAGAAGGAAGATCAGACTCAGGGGTGATTGGTTCATTATGGATCAAGAGAAGTTTAAATTTCTGAATGATAAAGTTGTAAAAAAGATTCAAAGGGAAGTAAGGGCATACTCAGCCCACTCTTTGATAGTACAATACATAAAAACTGGATTTTGTAGGAGTATAATAAAAGATTGTATAGGAGTATAATAAAACCCAGACACAAGTCTGAAAAATTCATTAGTTTCTGCCATGACTAAAATAAGCACTGTCTAGGAAAACTACTTTGCAATGGTAATGAAAAGCAAGTGGAAAAGCAAGTGTTAGCACCAGTGCTGCAATGTGAAATAATTTCTGTATACTCAGATCTGTCATTGTGAACAATGTTGTTGATTATAAACCACATCAAATTCCCAGTCCCCCTAGACATGTGTTTTATTTTGCAGTTTTTCTAGTAATTATGAAATCAACAGAATACTATCAAGTTTTACCACAATTAAGCTAAATATATACTTAAATGATATAACATAGTTGGTAATTGCAATATCTCTCTGACTTCCTTCCAAGGCATCGTTTCTGGAGCATTTTCAGGGGTGGTTGGTAATGATAATGATGATGCTGAGTTCTCTCATAATTGTATACTTTCAAAGGTATTTCAAACCAATTAAGAATCAAGACTTGACCTGCAGAGCTTTAATTCTTGTGAGTTGATAAGACAAAACTCCTAGCCTGAATGGATTTTATGGCTCCTCAGCGTGTGGGGGTTTGATGGAAGAGAGTGTGACACAGAATTACAGCTCTGTGAGCTGAGAACAGGTCTGGGTCCAGTCACTTGTGAAATAGTGCCCACCTGTAAAACCATCTCCATGCCATCATGCTGAAGACCTTTGGGCTCCAGGAGATAAAAATGCTTGTCCTGGGTCCTCAGTGAGGGAGCAGCTGTGTGCTACAGCCCTTTGATCAGCTGCTGCTTGCTCAGGGTCTGGCCAGGCTGTGCTGTCAGTGCTGGGCCTGGGAGGCAGGAATTTGTTCCAGTGCTTTTCTCAAAGTTTGTCAGATGCATAAATAGCTCAAGAGACTGCTCAGTATTCTCCACCAAACTGGGACTCTCCCTATATTGGCAGTTTTGTCTCCCTGTAGCTGATCCCTGCTGCTTTTCTGGCCACTGGAATTGAGCATGTACTCCAAATTTATGTTTACAGCTACTGGAATCCACTTTGTAAGAAAAGACAAGGCAGATTTGTTTGTACTTCTACCATTAACATTTATATATTTGTTCAGAAAGATTAAAAACTCAATCAATTTGATGATCTAGGCGGTCTTTTCTGACCTTATTGATTCTAAAATTATTTTTATTATCTAGTTTTAAATATCCTGTCTCCATCTAACCTTGCTTACTATATATGATACCATTTGTCTGAGAGGTATTTTTCTGTCTAACTGAATACTACCTTTTTAATAATTTAGTTTAATAATTGACATTTTTTTCAGGTCACTGAAAGGCAAAGGTCAGACAAAGCAAAGACAGATCACATCTACTTCAAATACTGTTTGCCCAACTATAATTAGAAATTATGATTGGTATGGCATAAAGAAACTATTATGACCATATATTAAACAGTATTTCTTTACTGAATTAGATTAGACAAATAAATGAGTTTGCATAAAAGAATGCAGAGTTTTTAAAGTTTCTTGGTTTACAAGTGTAATGAGCCAGATTTTATTTAATGTTAAATAATATGCAAGTTGATATATTTTGGAATGCACAATAACATGTTCCGATTCCTTCTAGAATATGAAATTGTCACCACGATTTTAATGGCAGCTTTCATAGGTCCAAAACCATTGGAAAAAAAACTTGGTAAAAGTGCCCTAAAAGGAAAACAAGTGTTTCCTCTATGTCTTTTAAGCAACAGTAAAGGAAAGCAAAAGCATTTAATCTTTCCCCCTTTTTTAATGCCTTCTGAAAGAACAGCATCCACCTGTCTATTTCCCAGTTGGTGGTTATAGAGAGTATCTTTGCCTTTTGCTTTTTCCTGCTAAAATCAGCCAGTGCAGTTAGGTTGTGGGTGTAACCACCTGGGGATTTAGTATAGTAAATATAGCACTTGGAAGCCTTTTGTTTCTCTTTTCTTTAGAAAACAGTGAGATCTCTGCTCTTACAGTTATCTTCATGAAACTGTCCACTGGGTGACTATGTTAAAGAAACGAAGAATGAACAGGGAGAAAAGGTAATTACAAAAAAATGTGAATTTCTAACCATATGTAGAACTACGTCTATCACAGTGGATGTGTATTTTCATTACCTACATGAGATAAAGATCGCTCAGCTCAGCTGCATAAAAGGGATTATTTTATATCCATTGAATGATATCTATTTCTATTGTATTTTCTGGTTAGCTTGTTATGTTCCCTAGATGATTAGTTCCCAACACTTTTCCATATTGAGAGCTCATCCTTCATACCCTGTGCATGTCCTAGCACCTCCCTTGACCAGGGGTAGAAGCTCATTTTTTGCCAATTACTGGCATGCACAGTCCAAGCTGAAGCTCAGAGTTTTTGTGTCTCAACCACTACAAGACTTCAGGGCAAACGTGGCCTAATTTTTAAACCATTTCAAGCAGCACTGAGTTCAGCAGAGGTTAACCTCCTTGGTTTTTTCAGTTTTCTGAATGAATTTTGCAGCTTGAGCTGTGTGCTCTGTGCTTCTGAAGACAGACTGCTGCCACTGCCAGTGTGACTGCTGTACATAAAGTTTGGCTGCATCCCGTTGCACTGGAGGGACCCTCTGCTGTCCAGGGATAATCTGTGAGGTTGCACACTGGGAGTGCAAATACCCATCACTATGATTGTGAAGATTTAATCACCAATTTTGCTGGCTGCCTTACGTGGACTTGGCTAAAACCATTTTCATGCTGCACTTCCAAAAAACCTCCACCCAGGTCCAGATCTTTTTTCTCTCTGTTTATCTCACTTTCCATTTTCATGAAATGAGAGCAGGCACTATTTCACAAAGCTTAGTAGACTTGACAGATAATATTGTCCAAGAAAAATCTTGACATGTTGCATTTGTAGTAGAAATTATTCAGGTAGTCACAGACTAGGACTTTGAAATCTTGACTAGGACTTTGAAATCTTGTATATTAGTTAATTCTGCTAGTGCAAGAAAATATGTATAGGCTGGTGTAAGCCCTCATTTCTTTGCCACAAGACTGCTTTGCTTTGTGTGGAGAGCCCAGCCAGAGTGAGCTGGGACTGCTCGAGGCAAACTAACCCAAATTTATGCTGTGCTGTCCCTCATGGGAATGTTTCTCTCATGAACAAAATTGTCTTTACTCCTCTATGCAGTTATTTTACCATAGAGATTACTCTGAGTAAGTAGCAAATAAGCAAAGTGAACCTTTTTTTTCACTATCCTGCCCAATAAATAGGTTCCAATATCTTTCCAAAGTTAAATGATAGCATCAGGATAAACAGAAAATGGTATACATTTTACAGGCACAGAGACAAGCAGCTGACCATTTCTGGTGAATTTTTTTCAACTTCCTTGGGAAGATTAAGCTAGCTGGAGAGTCTTCAGAAACATTGAACCACTGACTCAGAGGGGCTTTTTGCCTGTTGTCTTCTGTATTAAGATATTGGCTTGGGCTTCAAGAGCCTCCACAGCATTTTCTGCCCTGCCTTCCTCAGAGCAGCAGCTTTCAATCCAAAGAGTCACCATTTAGTCAGAGCAGAGACTGGGCTTGTCAAAGCCAAAACAAAGGTCTTGATTGCCCCACATGTGTAGTTCCTGTCTTCCCAAGAGTTTTTTTAGAAACAGCAAAATAAAAAACATTGAAGAAAGAGAATCTCAGTGGGGATGGCCCAGCCACTTCAGTTTTCTGACAGCTTAACCAAGTGTGGCTGTCAGTGTGTGGGGTAACTCAGTAAAAGGCCACCCCTGCTTAGGTCAGCTGGGAGGAGTCAGGTGTAGCTCTTGAAAAACAAAAAGGACCAAATGGATCCAAGACACTTGCATTTAGCACAACCATAATACAAGTGTAAAATAAAGGGAATTCCAAAAGGAAACCCTTTTTGTCAGGCAAACGCTGAGCCACTGCAAACAAATCTGGCAAGGCTGAGGGTCCAGCTCCCTGGGCTGAACATCACAGCCCATGGGCAGTGCCAGAAGGCAGCAATGGGGCTGTCAGATACTGCTGCAGCCATCACCCTACTGCTGAAAATATCCATGAATTTCACTAGTTTACAGAAGCTGTCAATGAATATCTTAATCCATAAGCATAGAAAACACAACTATTTTACCATACAATTGTGGAAGCTAATCCCTGGCAAGGTCATTACTTTCACCAGTTCCCTTGTAATCCCCTCATACACATACAGAATAAGGCACTGAAGCCTAATCTTTCCAGTGCTGAAAATGAGACTTTTATGCAAACTGATAAAAGTTCTTTGTTTGATTTATCTGTAAACCAAAATAGTCTGGTAGTTTGCCTTGAAGTTAAAACTCTGTCAAATCCTGTGTATTCCTTTTTATGTATTTTGTCATTTTCCCTCTATTAACTCTGTCCTAAGGTTGAAAAGAAGAGTGCACTCCAGCTTCCATTTACATACTGTACTTTAGCTTTGACTTTTTTTTTTGCAACCTGTTAAATTTATTGACTATAAGCCCCTTGAGCTATTGAAGAATATGCTGCTTACATTAGATATCTTTTGAAAGATGCTACTGGTAGCCTGTTTTAATGTGTTTGCTCTCTCCAGACACAATTTGTCTTACATATTCATTGGGTTTTAGTGCCAAGACCAGTTTCTTCATTGTAGCTGTTGTTTGGAAGTCTCACACAGATATTAAGGTTTAGTAATTTTTCAGCGCTGCTCAAGGGATCTGAGTGTCAAATAAAATAATGAGTGGGAATTTGGGCATTGAAAACCCCTAAGCAGCTGGCTTTGGAGATCTCAATAAAGAAAAAAAAAAGGAAATCAAGATGGCACAAAAGACACTTTGGGACATCTAGGATGTTTTATATGTACAAATAGAGCTGGCCAAAAAATAGTACTTTCCATTCACTGACAATTATATTTCATTTTAATTTCAAGATTTCATATAGCCTAAAAGTCAGAGAAAATTTCATTTGCAAAATGCTAGCACATGGAGCTAGGAAAACAGAATATGTTCCCCTGCATACTGCAGCTGCTTTTTCTAGTGATGGAGCTGACTGGAATACTGATTTCATTAAGCAAGGGCTCTGGATGGGAAGGATGTCTTTTCAGATTAGTCAGGGCTTTCAGGTGCTCAGTTACACAGGAGAGAGTCCAGAATCCTCGAGAGAGGATCTCAAGGCACCCAGACCTCCTGTGAGGCTGGTCTGGAGGGTGGGAATGGGATGCTGTGTGTTCTGTGGTTCTGGCTCTCACTGAGCCCATTCCTGCTGCAGGCCCTGATGTGAGATATGGAGTAGCACTTCTTCCACAGTACAGGCATTTGCACCTTGGCTGTTCATGCTAAATTGACATCTGACCAGGCAGGACACTCCCAGCAGCATGGATTTCACAGCACAAAGTAGAGACAGCTGGATTGGGACTTTCAGATTTATGCAGCCATAAGTGTCCTGCCTAGTCAGCTTAAACATCAGCTGTAACATACATCAATTGGTAGCCAGCACCCCAAAATCTGTTGTGCCTCTGGGACAGAACTTGGACTTGATTGTCTGCATCCTGCTCTCTGTGCAATCACTTGTGCTGGATCCTGAGGCAAATCTCAGCTGTGCTGTATTTTTATTTCTAGAAAATCCATACCGAAAGTCAAACTCTTCTCTCTGGGAAAGCCTTGGGGCACCGACCTGTGCCTCCAGTGAGGTACAGGTGAGATCTCTGTGCGCTGCAGCCCATGTTCCACGCTCTTCCAGTTTTTCCACCCAGATGTTTGTACCTTCCAAATCTGTTTTACTGAGGAATATCTTTGGCCCCAACATGTACAGAAAAAGAAAGGTAATTCAGTGAATGTTTCAAATAGAAAACACTAATTGTACTTTGACTTTCAGTGAAAAAAAGTGGGCAGGTCATGGTGTCCCAATCCCCATTAGTTGGTTTAGATCCTCTGTGGCCACGTTATTGTGGGGGTGATCTTTCCCTACAGGGAAACCAGAAGAGCCTAAAATATTTTCATGACATTGTTTCATAGCACCTAAAAGCTTTTAAAGGCACAGACTTTGAAGCTGTTAATGAAATAAATGTAGTTTAAGTTACATTTACTCTATAGTGGGAGTGGGAGAGGGATATATTTTGGCTTATAGTGTACATGTCAAGTAAATGCAATTGTCTATTTCTGAAGTTTTACAGTCCCCATCATCATAATTACCTTAAGTGAAACTGTATTTAGCTTGCATATGACTTCAATTTGCTGCAAAGTAAATCACCAAATAAATCAATAATTTACAACCTAACAAACAGTACAGAGTTTTCCAAAAGAACAAACAAACAAACAAGCAAGCCATTATGCCTGGGCTTTTCTGAATGCAGCACTGCTCCTTGCCTTGCTTCTCTGAGAGAAATGTGACAATTTCCAGCACCAGACATTTTCACTCAAGCAAGCAGGAATCGTGTAAAACCGAACAGATAATGACACGAAACAAAGCTTTGATTAGGAGCCAGTGAATAATGATCCTTCTCACATATTCAAAGTCTAGGATGTTTAACATATTTTACATTTAGAATATATCAAGCAAGTTCCTCTGATTAGAATTTAGTATCAAGAGAAACACATTTTATTAGACCGGGAGCATGTCAGGGCTTGGTGCCCATCGGCTGCAACGAGTTATGTTACAAACACATCCAACACCCACATTTGGAGAAGTGCAAGAGTGAACATGTTTCTTATATTCCTCTTTCCTGCTCTATTTTCCTGCAAAAATCATAAGAGGCAAGTGGAAGTTATCTCTTGATTCCTACAAAGAAATAAAAAGGTGAAAGAATTTTTTCATGGCATAAAGAAATCACAGGTTTACATTGTTGAAAATTGCTGTTGGGTTTGGATGCTTTTGTACAAGTCATTGCTATGGAGACTGTATTAATTGGCTGCATTTCTCATGTGGGGGTAGGAAATACTCAGTGAACTCAAAAGGTGGAGAAAAATAATTTTGTTATGTGTTAAATTAGTTGGTGGTTTGTGTTGCCAGGAATGTAGCAGGGACCAAAAGCATAACAAAAGTCTGAAACTTGGGGATATTTAGAATAAAGAGAGCATCCAGAGGTGAATTATTTAAAGTGAGTTTGGGACCAGGGGCTGTTAACCCTAATTTCAAAAAGGAATAAAATTCCCTCATGGTTCATTTCACAGCCTGAGCCACATATTTTCCTGATGAATACTGGAAAGGTATTTTAACTGTACCCATCTAATTCCACATTTCTCATGGAGATTTGGCACCTTGCTCTAGAAGTTCTAGTTCTGGCTAGCAATGGGGAATAGCTACTAGAAGAGATGACCCACTACCCTGGTGTGTCCCTTCCTTGGAGGAAGGATTTTCTACAGCTTCCAGATGTTACTGGTTGGCACCCTTTGAGTAATTCTCAACATATTTGCTGCAAAAACCTTCTTAGCCTACATCTGTGGTACTATTACATTTATCTTGAGGTCACATGTGGCATTACAGTAATCATTGTACCTTTAAGATATAAGTATTTTACAGAGTATCAATGCAAAATTATATTGATATGTATGTGTCTATGAGCAATGAAAAGATATCCTTTAGAATATGACATATTTTGTTTTCTGAACTATATATTAACATGAAGAAAAGCTGTGACTGCATGCAACTCCCTTAAGTCAGAAATAGGAATATAATTATATATCAGAAGAAGAACATTTTTAAAGGTTAAAATTACATTGTATTTCCATAGATAGAGATATTTGTATTTCATTAACTAAAATTACTTTCTTGTATCTCAACACTTCAGGAAAGAAATTATTTTTGCATTTGTTTTGGGATGAGTGACTATAATCCCAAGTCTTTTATTTGCATCAGTGTGCAATGTGCCATTTACTCAAATGAGGGCTGGGTGTGTTTGCAGAGCTGACACAGAAGTGTGTCTGATTACCTCACCATTTCTTTGTACCCAGCATAGATGGAGGCGAATTAGAACTCATCAGCAGGAGGGGTTTTGTTTTCTTCCCAACCAAAGCATCAAAGAATCCCAGAGCCCAGTTTAAGCTATTCAGACTGAAAATAGACTGATTTTTTTCTTCCTGGTTCCAGTAAATACTTGTGTATTACAGTGAGATTCTTTCAGGAGAGATGCTGAGAGCTGTAAACACCCATGCTGAAGATAATGCTCAGTAACCAGTCTCAGGCCTTTCATGCAGCTGAAAGATTTGCTGAGCAGGGCTGTGAGAAAATAGCAGTGTTTGCAAAAACCCAGGTATGGATACAGGTATACAGGCAAAAAAGGCTATTTACCAATACGTCTTTATTATGTTTAGAGACCTACAGTACATTCCCAGTGTATGCCAGCAGACAAAGCACTTCAAATATGAACAAGGTGAATGATGGCTAATTAATTAGGCTGTATGTCTCAGAGCATTACAATTTGGTGCTCCTTATCCCTCCTAGGGTGCAGGTTACTGATACTGGGAGATTTAGTTCCTGACTCTGCAATTTTAATTCCTGTTGTGTACATGATGCTAAGCCATGTCCTTGATTGCCCAGAGCAAAGAGAGTTTGAAGGAAGCCAAAGGAAACAGCTGGAGCCCCCTTAGTGCTGGCATTGTGCTCTGAACAGTCCATGAAATGAGATTTGGGTGCATGCAGCATTTGTTGTTCTGCTGCCATGTACCAGCCCCTCACTAACCAGGACCTGGACAGGAGACACAGCAGAAGGTTGTGCCTGGTTTCTGCTGATAGTTATGATCAGCTTGATATTTTCAGCATTTTATGTCTGTTTCCTGGAGATATTGTGGGTATGTCTAATTAAAAAGTGATCTCTTAACACTTCCCAAGACCTTGTTTTCTATTGCAGAGGTATTGCCCATGGTTATAGTTGCTGTTATCTGTCACAGATCACCGAAATCCTCATTTCCAGTGGAAACACACTGGTCCAGACAGCACTTTGGCAGAAAGCATTTCTTTCCTTTGGCATGTCGTGTAAAGGGGAGAGAGAAAGAGGGATAGGAAAAGAAATGAGACCTCAGTGGCTAAGGTTGCACTTTTAGAAAGCCAAGACGTGGGTCACATCTTTGGTGTGACCTGAACAGAGCAGGGTCATTGAATTTTTGATTCAGAGAATTGTGGAATCATAGAATGGTTTGGAGTGGAAGGACCTTTCACAGTCATCCAGTTCAACTCCCTGCAATGAGCAGGGGCACCTTCCCCTACATCAGGCTGCTCAGAGCCTGTCCAAGCTGCTTTGCATGTTTCCAGGGATGGGGCAACCACCAGCTCTCTGGGCAATCTGTTCCACTGTTTCACCACCCTCATTTTGAGGTGAGGATGTGAGACTCCAGCTCCTGCCTTCTGGTCATCTTCTTTTCCAGTAGAACTTGGCCATGGTAGGGTTGAGGTAGGGTATTACGTCATGTTTCTCTGTTTTTCGTTAGTTGGTTGGCTGATTCTTGGGTTAGATTTTTTTTTTTTTCTTTAGCTGTTATCAACTTCCTGATACAGATGAGGAATATTTTGTATCTTTAATAACTGTCACAAGCAGGAAATTCTGCTGCCTCACCATGGCAATCTCACTAAGCAGGAATCTGCCTGTTCTCTGTGTCATTCTCTGTAGTGTAATGGGTATTTCTTTGTGCCACATACAACATTTGTTGCTACTTTCTTGCAGCTGTGTGAAGCCCCCGTTTGACATATGTTTCCATGGAATTAGTTAAATTGTGCAGCGAACAGATTCTCTGTTTCTGCTCAGTGTAGCAGGGAAGGTAAAGGTTATCCCCACCATAGGACATGGGGAGGGGTGGTCACTCCTCCGAGCTGCTTCTGGAGCTGCACTGATGGTGTTTGGTGAAGCAAATCTGCTGCAAATTACAGCATGTGGTTATAGATCAATTTCTGCTCCTGCCTGCTGCCAGCAATGTGCTGTGCACGAATGGAGCTAACTTGGTAAACATGCACTCTGGTAACTGAAATAACCAAGTGTTGTTGAAAGGAATAATTAATTAATGTTTGTAAAGCACTTAGAAACTGAAAAGCACCTTATTAGTGCTAAGTGTTCAGGGGCCTGGCTTTTTCATCAGAAGGGAAAGTCCTTGTCTTTGTTAGTCTTAACTGAACAAAACATTAAGGGTATAAAGCCTTTGTGTCTAATGTCCTCAGTCAGGTGTTTTTGTGCCTGGCAGTCATTAGGATGCAGTAAGTAAACAAGAAGAAACTATAAATGGCCTGAATCAGCTTGTTTCCACTGATGCCAGCAGAATCAAGTTGATTTACATTAGCTGAAGATCAGACAGGGAGAATCCAAAGCACAGCTCCTCTCCTTGATGTCGGTCGGGTTCAGCCAGAGCCAGTTGCTGGTTTATTCTCTGCAGCTCCTGCCTCTGTGAGCCCAGCTGCCAGGAATGAGCACAAAACCATATTAGGGCCCAGGGTTCCTGTGCAGTGAGGTGGACAAATTGGATGGCTCAGATTTGCTCCCTGGGGCAGGCAGCACGTAAATGAGCAGCCCCTTGGTGGAGAGAAGGATTCCTGTTTATCAGCTGTGCCACGCAGGGCTAAAAGGGGGACACCTATGGCTGACCCTGTTCCAGAGCACAGGAACACAGAGAGCAAGAATCTCTGCCTTTACTTGGAAAGTGCTTTGGCTCCCTCACAGCAGCCCCAACTTCTCCTGATGCAGAAGTCACTGACTGAAGGGTGGATTTACTGAGAAGGGTAAGAGGGATATGAGCCACCCAAAGCAGAACCACCTGGGGAGATGTGGATGTTCCTGGGAATGTGATCCAGCCCCCAGCAGCCCTCAGCTCCTGCCATGCACAGTGTGTGGCATCACACCTTCTCTGCAGCCATCCAAGGGCTGCTCTGCTCCTCCAGGGAATTCCTATCTGCCTAAGAGGGTGCCCATCTGCACTTCACTCTCTGTAAATAGATCAGAAGCTGGGGGAGCAGGAAGAAGGGAAGGAGAGGAGAAACAATCTTATGGAACACAGGGAGCTGCAGGAAAGGGTTTAACACTAATTGGCCAGAGAGCACAGAGAAAAGCACTGGCCTGTCCATCACAGCACACACTTGAAAGATTTTCGTATCCCTTTACCACACAGAAGTTTCCTTTCTTCAGCCAGAATTTTTCAGGATAAATTTGATTATATTGGGCATCTGTTCCATATTTATGACTATCCAGGACCTCTGTCACTCACACTGAACTTCCAGATGAATGAAAAACCTGATGATGTGCCTGTTTATGGTACATGAGCAGTGTGCATCACATATGCATCACACACAGTCACTGGCAGGAGTGCTGGGAGAGGGAATCCAGCCTTTGATCACTTGGGTGTTTCTTCTACAGGAGATCAGTAGCCCTTTTTTTTTTTCTGGATTAATTGGCAGAGTAAGAAAGGTTACCTGCCAAGAAAATCCAATTAATCAGCCCTTGCTGGTCTTGAATAAAGCTCCATGGCTGATAAAGGGTTGCAGTTAGAGAGAATCAAAATAAGCCACCAGGACACCAGCTAGTCTGCTTTTTCAATCTCTCCACCAGCCTAGGGCAGAGTATGTTTGGCTCACTTCAGTGGCAGTGCTGGAACACAGTGTGCCAGAATACCCCTCCATGATGTTTCTGGAAGAGCTAAGCATTACTAGGATTGTTTAATAGTTATCTTTGTGATTAGCCATCTGTTACAGATCCATTTATTGAATCGGAGAGGGGACAGAACCCTTGCATATTCTGCTTGCTCCTCACTTTTCTTGAGCTCACCATAGGGAGCTTTTTGCAAAATGCATAAAGAACCAAAAAAAACCCAACAAAAAACAAACAAACAAACAAAAAAAACAACAAAAAAACCCCCAAAAAAACCCAAGAGCTTCTTTTAAAGAGAAAAAATTGTTGTGGCACTGTGAATAGTAAAAGTCATAATAATTTGTCTTCATCAAGATCACAGGCTTAGGAGCACTGGATATTTTCTCCCTGGATGCTGGAATAAGAAATTGAGAAGTCTCTCAGAGGTCCAGAAAAGATTTTGGAGCTGCCCACTTGGTCTCAGTAACCTCCTGCCCCACATATTCATAGCTATGGAAGGGAAAACTTGGTGTCAAATCCTTACATATCCTCTGTCTATTGTCAGCCAAATATACAAGTTAACAAATTTTAGAGAGCCAAAGGCTTTGTTTCTGTGGATTTCTGAATCCAGAGTGAAGTGATTTGGGTGAAACACCCAAAGAGTCCAGCACAGGAAAATGACCCAATAGAAAGTTCCACAGATGTCAAGGCAGAAGGTGAATTTGTGATAATTAATTCTTTCTTCTGAGTTATGTGCTAATTGACTTGGCAGCAGCACCTTAACTGTGATTCATTGGCTCTTGGATTTTAGGCCAGAAGCAACAACGATGATGGTCTGGTCCTACTGCAAAGCAAAGCCCACAGCTTCCCAGTGCTTTCTCCACCAGCACCCTAAATTCTGCTTAAATTACCATTTTTATTGAAAACCCAATGCTTATTAAAGGCTATGCAATAGAAGATCCATTGGGTGCTTGGGTAAGTAGATCTAAAGGTAATTTTTTAAAAAAAAATTGCAGCTTATTTTTGGTATCATATTTATATTGATATTTCCATGTGATTCTATTTCTTTTTTTTGTCTAAATGGACCCCAGGAAAATTAGGAAAACACACAAACAATTTTTTTCTTTTTTTTTTTTTTTTTCTGGTGTTAAAGGCATATGTAGAGTTTGTGGTAATCTTCCTACTGTATTAGTAATATCTTTAATGGATCATTGAAGATTTTTTTCTTCTTTTGATCCTCTCTCTCACTTTTCACTCCTTTCATTACCCACCAAAACCCCACAAAAACCAAACCAAACCAATCCAAAAGCAAATAGGACAAAAAATACAAAACAATATTGAAGAAGTGGCAGACAAAGTCTGTAATTCAACAGAGGCATTAAAACATATGCAGAATGTTCCTGGACACATGTAATGAGACAGGGAAATACTGGCATTCCTACAGTTCTGGCAAAAATTTTGGTTTTGTTTGTTTTATGCTTTTGGTTTTTTTTGTTGGTTTGTTTTTAGTTGTGTTTGTTTTTGGATTTTTGTTTATGATCCTAATTGTTCCCTCCAAAACATCTCTCTCCTCTTCTCGTTCCCTAATATTCCCCTCGAGTCTGATTTCTCTGACTTGTAGAGCATGTGAGGATTGTTTAGGTAGCTCACATCAGTGACAACCCAGTGACACAGACCAGACAGGGCATTCCTCTGCTTTCTTGCAAGAGTTGAATTTGCCCCCTTTTTCCAGACAAAAATCAAAAGTCAACTGTTCAACAAAATCTGTGCCCTCTCCCACACTGAGTATTCTGAGACAAACATTTGCCATTCTCTGCTCCTCTGGGTATCCTTTTTATCCCACAAAATATTTTCATTTATTTAAACAGGAACTGAAGTACCCAAAAATTGAGATAAAATATGAAAACCCTTTGTCATTGAGCAAATCTTCATCCTGTGAAGGAGAAAGTGTCAAAATATCCATTGGCTGTACCTGATAAATGTATTGCTGAAGTAAGTGATGCTCTCTATGGAAAAGCTATGAGGTACTTGTGATGTACTTATGGAACTTACAAGAAAAAAATCATCAAAACATGAGAATTTTTAAATTAATCAGAGGTATTCTCAGTGAATGAAATGGAACAGTTTGGCTCTCAAGTAGTTATGATACAGATATCCAGGTGAGCCAGCAGTCACAAAGATATTTTCTTGTTATGTCATGATCATATCACGTATCTGTCTCACCTGTAAATAGAATATTAACCACCATGCACTTTCAGAAGCTGGGAGAAAACATGGTGAGTTCCCAAAGGTGCAAGTGGACTTGTTTGTGTTTATAAATAAGCCACCAAACTGATGTGATTAAACAGTTACTCCATCAGTGTCTTGGCCCTTCTTTTCTCCATCTGGTAGGCAGGCAGGCAGATTAAATATATGCCATGTGTTTATTTTTCTTCTACAAAATGAGCTGTGTTAATATTTCTTGTCACTATGAGGTGGTACCAACCATACCAAATATACTGATTTATGTTAAAAAATGAGGAGTTACCAGGAACACAATGACATGCCACCCAAAGCACAGTATTTTATTAAAGGAGATGGCAGTAAACCGTAATTTTTATTTTAAAAAAGCTCAATTACAGACTTAAGAGAAAATTAAATTTATTATTGAGCCTCAGTGTTTTGAAGCTACCAGTTGATTCCTGGAATTGACTTTGAAATGAGTTTTGGGAAATCATTTTAGTATTGACTTGGGCCATAATGGTTGGCTGTTGCTTTTTTGTGTAAGATTGATTAAATTACTCTGAACAAGCTCCAAGTACGTGTCCTTCTCTAAGGCCAATTGTGAATATGACCATAATACACTCTAAACCATATTTCAGAAAATAAATAATCTCAAAAACTGGAAGAACATTACTGCACTCTTCCAAGAATAAGCAAATGAACTTTGTTCCTTGTCTCAACATACGTCACTTCTTTTTTTAATGCCTTCTGCTTCATCTAGTTTTAAAAATATGGGGTTATTTGCTAGATTTCCTCTATACACTACAGGAGATAATTTTTGACTAGGTCTTAAAGAAAGAACTAGCTAAGAAATAAGTGTGTAATATGAGATTCAATTTTATTTTTGTCTAATAAGAACTGCCAGTTGTTCTACTGATTTCAGCCTTTATCTCCCCTCAAAAATGTAGTTATTACTTCATACATCAGTAACTCAAGTGAAATCAGGGCCACGTTATAGCAGGTTCTGTACAACACATGGGAATGAATGATCTTAATTGAAAAAAAGTTTGAAAATTAATGCCAAATATGTGAAGACAGAACTTATCCACAGCTGCTGAGTGGCCCTGGTCTGGAGACAGGAGAGGAATCCAGGTCTTTGAAGACCCAAGCACTATCCAATGAGCTCTGCTCCCAAAACACTGGCTGGTCTGAGCTTTTATCAAATCTAAGGTATGTACTTCAAAAGCCAAAAATAAATGACAGTAAGATACATCGCCAAGAAAACCTCAAAGGTGACTGGTGCATGGCTGCCACAAAGTCACAAGAGAGACAGCAAGCACCAGCAAAAGAATAGGAGCAAGAGGAAGAAAACAGTAGAAGTTCTGAGAACAATTTAATGTTATCAGTTGCACAGAAAGATTCTTGAATGGTGACCTGGGAATTGCAGGCAAGATTCAAGAAAAACAATAGTTTGTGGGATACAACCTTCCAAAAACCATCCTGCTGCACTTCCCAAATGTCCTGAGCTCCCATCTGAGATGGAGTAGGCTATCTGGGGAACAAAGCTCTTGAAGAAAATCTGGTTCAATAAGGGTAAGGATTTCTCGGGTGCTGCTAGGAAGGATTTCTATTTGCCTGGCATGAGTTTCCATGCTAGGAGTGCTGCACTGGGGCTTTAGGCCAAAAGGTCTTGGCAAGGCTTGATTGAGAGGCAGATGAGGTTGGCTTGCAAAGGGTGAGATTTTATGTTCTTAATATTTTCTGTTCTTAAGATTTTCTGTTCTTCCTGTTCTTAAGTGTTCTTTAACTCCTGCTGACAAGAGCAATCTGAATCCTCAGAGGTCTTGAGTAAAGAGGAAACCTGCAGGGACCAGGTTAAGTTGAAAGAGTGAGTAACTGCAATATTCTGTAATTACTTCTACAATGCTCTCCTTCCAGTAGTCTCTTGTTCAAGGCAAAAATATTTGGGTACATCTCATGGGGCGAATTGTCAAACGTCTCAGACATTCCTTACTCTACAGGCAATCATCTTTCAATCTTTAGCTTAGAAAGAAAACTCATTTGCTCCTTAAAGTCATCAAAGCACAATGAATGATTTAGTTCAGTGGATGGGGAAAGAAGTGGAAGCCTGTGTCAGGTCTTCTTGTTGATTTTTTTTTTATTTGAGTTTCTCTCTTGGGTAGAGGGAAAAAAATCTTGTCATTTGCTGCCTTGAATTTGAGCTGTAATGGAGTTTTTTCCTTACTGTTTTCTTCCTTTGCTTCTGGTTTCTGTGAGCTTCAGAAAAGACAAGAAGCTTTCTTCTGCTAAATGTACTGGCTCATTTCCTATTAATTTGAATACCTTACTGATAAATTGAATTTACTGTTGCCCCACAAACAAAGTATATTTGAATGATACCTCTTGGTTTCTTAATGAAATGTTAAATGAAACTTGCTATAAATGGAATCTCAGCTAAAGCAATAATTAGTATTTCAGTCTGTTTAAAATAATGTTTTAATTATCTTCACTCATTCTAAGAATTGTAGAATATCACGTCAGGCATTACTGATTCAGGCATCAGTGTTGTTGTAGATGCTTTGCTTAAGTCCCTAAATTTCACATTATTTGAATGTCAGCAGGGTGACATTCAAGCTCTGGGCGATATTTACAAATTTTTTGAATCACAACAATGGAGAAGATACAAAATAAAGGAAATAGAAGCAGGTAAATGAACTCTCAGTTTATCCACCACTATCTCACTTCACGTCATTTGAATGGTCAGTAAAGCAGACCTAAAAAAGGAGAGCACTTTCTCTGGAAAGCTGATGTCCCAAGTGTTTGGGGTAGGAGAAGGTGAACACATGGGGAGAATTCTGGACAGAGGACACTGAAGCTCTGGTTGGCCAAGGGGAAGAAAATAAACACCATGAAAACATTGGGTCAAATACCACCAGAACATAGGTTTAAATGAAGCCTACACATGGTTCTGGATAGAGCTGAGAACAGGATTTGTTTTAGTCACTATGTATTTTTCCATCTTTTCACACGACAGGAGTGGGAATGGCAAGCAGGATGCACCAGGGTCAAGAAGGTGACTTTGGAAACAATTCAAAATGAATGAATACTCACTGGAGCAAGACCAGCTCTTTTTGCTCCAGGTGAGGCATGGGCAGCCTCAGTGCCAGTGCACATTCAGTGACAGCCTCTCAGGGGACAGGCAAAGCAAATGAGTCTTTTAGGGAACAAAAATCCCTCTGCACGGCGGGGTGTGTGGCTGGGGAGGGTTGATAACCGTGAGCAGCTCTGACACCCCCATTTTGCTTTATCTAATTCAACAGCAGGATCTATTCTCTATTTCAGTACCTGGTGTGAAAGGAATTGTTTACCATTCTTCTTGGCCTCACTTTCTTTCTTGCTGAATTAGACCCTTTAACAAGACCAAGTGGTGTGTTTTCTATAGGGAAAGCTTTGAAATGAAGCAAGATTTTTGTACCTTGTTCAAAGCCTCCTTTCAGGAGAAACTTGACTAACACAGGGAAGCTTCCAAGAAATTTATTCCCCAAACTGTTTTTTCTGAGAGAAATGTTTATTGTTTCTTTGATTGTTAGCTTTAATATTTATTGTGTTTTAATTAAAAATATCTGCTTTTCTTTTTAATATGTGCTTTGCCCACCACTATTGCTATGAAGGAGCCCAGTATTATGGTCAGCTCTACTCTACAGTGACCCAGGGAGGAACGACAGATGCTTCAATGACATTCTTTAGGTGTATTCTTTTGGTTACCAGGAATCGTTTCAATAGAGGCACTGCAATATTCAGCGTGCTTTGCTCAGAGCCTGTGCCTGCCATGGGAGATCATCCAGCTCTGTGATTGTGAGAGATGACAGAAAAGCAAAAGGAATAGAAATAAGAGAAGGAAATAGGATAAATGTAGGCAAGGGAAGCTCAGAAGAGGCATTTCTAGTTGTTTAAGGGATTTCCAATGCTTGATCTGTAGAAAATCTTCATCCACATCCAAACTGGGCAGAAATTCCTTTCAGGATATGCCATCACTAACCCCCAGCAGCTGAGATCAGCAGCACGGGCCAGGCTGCCCCAGGGACTGGGATCAGACATTAAATAACACACTGACCCTTACTCTGAGGAAGAACCCACAGAAAGCTGAAAAATAGGCTGAATACCTTGCATTTTAGTACTTCTGGCAGTGTCCTGCTAATGAAGGTAATGAATGGCTCAGACAGGATAAAATATCAGCATGTGCAGCGTAAATACTGCTTGGACCTCTCTCGTGGCAAGAGGCATGCAAGTGACAGGAATTTAATTTCTGGTTAAACTATACCTTTTTCCTGGGCAGAAGAAGCAGGAAGTGTATTTCAGAAGGCAGCTGGGAATGTGTCCTGTGTTTTTATTCTCTTTTGCCATCTAGTCATTCATTCTTTGACCTTCCCCCATATCTTCCTATTATTTAATTTACCTAGGCAAAAGTCTGTGATCCTAGACAGAATCACTTCCTGGTATTCTCTTTCCTCTTCAGAGTTTTCTTATTTTCTGGACAATTGCTTCCCAGTCTTGCCTTTTCATGCCAACAGCATGTCACTTGCTTGGAGTTAATGCTCAGCAGAACCAAGGTTGCAACTGCTCATTCTATGTTTATTTATTTGAAAAGATCAATTAACAAAGAACTTGGTGTTGTTCAGCCCAAAAAAGCACTGTATAAACCACCGAGACACCCAGGGAAAGGTTTTAAAAAATTCCACCAGAAGGTAGGGATATTTCCAGAGGAATAGTGCTGCCAATCCCAAAGGTTTTCATTAAGACCAAAATTCCTAAATGCTATCTGTGTCCTTCTGCCTTAGCACTCAGTGGTTATGACAGCTACTAAAGCAGCTCTGTGCTTAATATTTTGCTCCAAAATCCACCTTAAATATCTAATTATGAGAGCCCATAGGAATTATGCTCTTTAATTTACTTAGATCTAAAGATGAATACCATTTACATTTCCACCACTGAGGATACAGGTTCTCCAGTCTTTAGTCAATACCACTGTTAAATATACAAATCAGACATGTTTGAAAAATGAAAAAAAAAAGCCTTGGAATGTTAGCTCAAGCATTTTTTTTTCAAATCTAATCCTTATTGCTTGCCTTTATTAACTGTGACTGACAATTCCTTAAAATATGTCAACAGAGATACTTATTGCTATTAACAGCATTGCATGGGATTCAGCATCTAAAAGCTCTTAGCCTGCATTGTGTGCCAGAAGTGTGGAAAAGAACAGCTGGAGAGAATTTTGTGGAGCTTGTTTTTTGAGGGTGGATGAAATCTTAATTCTGGTGTCTTGTCCTCAGTAATCAGAGAGGTTTTGTAGGTTGAGTCACAAGAAGGAAATAATAGTCCTTGTTTTACTGTTGTGTCGAGTGTCAAATCTGGTGAATAATGTAGATAATTTTTTTTGAAATTTGAAGTGGAGACTAATGTATGATTAATGTCAGGTCCACTGTTTTCCTTCCTTGTTGCTCTGCACAAGTACCATAGCATTTCTTAGAAGTAAAAAAAGGTACAGAACAATCTCTTGAGCAAGGACTGAGTTACAGTTTTTATCTTGCACTTGTAGCTGTTTGGTTTTAAACTCATTTTATATATCTGCTAAGCAAAATAAACTGATCACAGTCTTCAGCCTTCTGGGGTTGGTTTGTCCTCAGTTGCATCTTTAGATATTTAATGGAGTATAGACTAAAAATGTACTCTCACTATCAAAATTGTAATTATTCCCATCTCTCTTCTTTTTCTCTCTCTCTCTCTTTTTCTTGGAAATGAACAAACAAAAGCTACAACTTTTTTCTGTCTTTATGCAGAGATGTTTGTTACAACTCCTGTTTCTCTTGATGCTTCTCAACTCCTGCCAATTTATCTACAGCTTTTGGTTTAGGTCTTAGGTTTGGTTTTTTTCAAGATACTTTGTCCTGAGTGATGTTCTCTGGATGACACTTTTACCAGTGACAAGAACCAAAGAATAATAACTTCCCATGTTTCAGGTGTGCCAGTGGTGCTCCCAAGGAGCAAGGTGAGATCTGCACTCCTGCCACAGCCCTGCCCTGCTCACAGCCACTTCAGCTCTGTTCTTCTCTTGTGACACTGAGCAGGACATTGCCACTTGCCCAATGGCACCTCGTTGAATCTCGACCATTTTTTCAATTTATCAAGATAATTTTGAATCTTAATTCTGGCTTCAAGAACGTTGTTCCCCTTGATGGTTTAATGTACACTGTAAATTTTACATGAGTACAGTCTTCTATCATTTAAGTTAATGAAAACACTGACAGGCCTCTGTCTGAAATACCTGCCTACCTTTAGATAAAATATTAGATTTTCTAGGAAAGTGCATTTTCAGACACTTTGGTAGTACTGTGGATTAGTGTTAGTAGATGTTTTTCTACCTTGGTCTTATGTATGCTGGATACATTTCTCAGGGTAGAGATGCTTCCTTCTGCATCTATCCTCTAAACAGTTATTTGATCAAACAACATGTTGAGTCTTTTGTGGATTTTTTTTTTTTTTTACTTCGAGTGCTCAGAAATAAAATATTTTAATGAAATCTCTGAGTAGTTTTGTTCTTAAGACTCCTGTCTGATTTCTGTGCCATGGTTGCAGCAAATAAGATGGAGGGCTTGAGGGTTTTACTGTTGTGCCACTTTAGGTGATTGAAGATATGAACAAAAAAAATTTTCAAAGTGTCTGTATAACCACCCACAGAATGGGCTTAATGCATTCATTCAGGGTGCTTTCTGAGACTTAATTTACATTTCATATATTTGAGAGTCTCACATGGAAAGATATTTTTGTGATGATTTTTTAATACAGTAATTTGATGAGATCATAAGGATTTACTTTGGAAGGATTTATAATTAATTTCTGCATGTAAAGAAGGTATCATTCCATAAGTGTGAAGCTTATATTTATTTGTTGGCTATAATAATAATTTCATGAAGGAGACAGAAGAATAGGTACAATTAAAGAGCCATAGGATCTTCTGGTCTCTTCTCTCCCTGTCTTGTGACTGCTAATAAAAAAATTTCAGTGGGAAATCTGTGAAGAAGGAGAAAGAGCCCATCTCTCTTTAAGAAGCAAGAATTTAATTATGAAAAAATTCCTGGATTCCATATACTGTGTAAAACTTCCTCTTGTCTTTTCCATGTTAATTTATATTCTACTCTGTCCTAGATACAAGATCTTTTCCCCAAACTGCCTTCAATAATACAGAACATTATTCAAGGGAAGATTTTGCTTCTTTCTTTCTGTTGAATATGTGATGAAAATGTTGGATAGCAGTCAAGCAAATGGATTTTTAGGAAAACCTTGTGGGGGTCAGAGGAACAGGCTCTGAAACAGCAGCTGAGTCACCTCCACCTGCCATGTCAGGTGCCCTCAGGAACACAGAAATCCCTGTTGAAGGCAAATCTGCTTCACTGGTGTACCACATCTGTCTGGGGCATCATCAGAAGAATTCCTGACAAATCTCTGGAGGAAGGACAAGCTAATTAAGGAACTGACTTTGGGATGTGAGCTGTTGACTTGTGCACTGAGCTCAGTGGAGCAGGAGACTTGTAAATGTCACCATCAAACCAGATATTTATTAGTTGGAGCTGACACACTCCAACATCCCAGTAAACGGTGAGAAAATATTCCCTATCACTTGAGACTTTTGAAACTGCAGCAGATTGAACATGGCCTGAAAAAAAACATCCTCTTGAGCTGAGTGCTCTTGTAATGGGGGCAGGGGGGAGTGATGAGATGAGCAGTTTTGGTCTTTCCCTCCTGAATCTGCCCTACTTTCCTGACACCATCTCTAAGAGGCTATTGGTTGTTTTCAGGGTGCTATGGAATAAGTGGAAAACTTGACTTACACAGTAATGAGTACTGGCCAAAGAGCAAAATAATGGGAACACTTAAAAAAAAAAATAATATTGACTTTTTTCCCCTCCTTGCTTACCAGCTGCAGACTGTGCCATGAGAGAAACCAATCACAGACTCATTCCCAAACTGTCCAGATGAAAAAGACCTGCAGGCTACTTTGCTTATTGCCATAACTCTCTGGAATTGCTTCCTGCCATATATCTGAGTACTATATTCAGGCTAATTTGCCATAACTTTCCACTAGAAACCTATTCCATACCCTGATAAATCTCATCTCTGGCTCTTCCCGCAACTCCCCTCCTGAAGAACTCAGTTCATGTTTTCATTTGTCCATTTTCATTCTGAATCGGAGATGCTGCCTGAAATATTTAAAGGCTAAGGACCTCAGCAGGCACTGGAGAATGCTGTCGATGCTTTCCCTGTCATTTTCTTTGCTCTGTGGAGGATCTAGCATTGCAATAAAAATTCCAGACAGGCAAGAAAAATGATCCATATTACTGGACAATCTGCTACCCTTATCTCCTGCAGATCACAACCTTTTTACCTCTAGCTCAGGAAAGTATTATTTAGAAAGCATGAAAGGAGAAGTGCCTTATTACATACTTGGTTCTACCATGCTGAATTAAAGAAATACCTTTATAGAATATAGAGGACAAATTGAATTTGAAAATGATCTTTCAGATATGTAGATATTCTCCTGGGCCAAGAGGATGTAGAAATGGTTCAGGCTTTATTCTGCAGTGCAGAAGTCAGCCCACACTGGGGTACCCCACTTTCTGGGGTGCCATTTCATCACTGTCTTGCTGAGGGGGAGTTTGTGTAAGGCAGCTGTGGCTGTTTACACAATTATGACCTCAGAGGGGACAGTCCCAGCTGGAGGGCAGGACACATCCTCATGAAAATCATCCTCCAGGTGCTCAGCATTCCCATTGGGAGCTAGATATTACCATATCATCCCTTTGTGACTCAGGAATGCTCATATCTGATTCTGTAAATGCTCATTTATCTTTTTCACCTTGTCCATGACACCTCACTTAGCCCACACTGAAACGAATGGAAAGTTTTTTTGCCCTTTAGAAGGGAATTGAATAGCTAGCAGATAAAATGAAGTTCAGATTCAAAGATATTGAGGATAGGAGCATAAGTCCTTGGTTAGAAGATAGTTTGAATTTTTTTTGTGCATTGCAGCATTAATTTTACATTGAAATAAAAATATTTTTCCTGTCTCATCCAGATCTTTGAGCTCTTCATCAGCTTATTTTCAAATCCTGTAGCTTTAACACAGGTACTGAATTCTGCTTTTAGATCGTTTAGCAGGAATCCTTGTAAGTGTCGCTAAAATATAAAGAAAACACAATTTCTCTGAGCTAGTGGTGATGAAAGTGTACTGTTTTGGAAAAAATAGCACTTTTTTGTGTGTGTATTATCACTTTTGAGCCCACTCTTGGTTATCTCTCTTTGTTTCACACAAGGATGGTATTAGTAGCCGGGAGCAATCTCTACATGCCCTTTCAATCAGAAATGTTTCTTGATTTGTGTACTTCTATAGCACAGGCCAAGCTGAAGTGAGAATTTATTTCCTGAAGAAAACAGATTTAATGTGAAAGGTGATCCTCAAAAGCTTCACAGCTCCAGTTGCCTTGGATAAGCACCAAGAAAAGCAGCTGCTGCTCCAAGTGAGTCTCCCACATCCCTGAGAGCTGAGGACCACAGAGGAGGAACATTGTGCCCCTCTCTTCAAGGACAGTGCCCATATTAAAGTACTAAAGGAGGATTCATGTGAAAACCATTAAACCCAGGCTTTCAGTTCTTCATTCTGCATTGCACTGTGGTTCAGAATCTGCCCAGCAGAGCCTTCAGTTCCTGCCCCTCACTAATTATACCTGTAATTACCTTTAACTTTGCAATCCTGACTCTCATAACACCAGACATTTCTACACTTCATCATGTTTGTAGGAAAAACAACAACAAAAACAAAAGAAACAATATTAGCAAAATATTCACCATCTTTTAGACCACTTAAAGGAATATAGGAATGTTTGTTGGAAATTTAAGACTGTTATTACATTTATTCTTAAATTAATGAGTGCAAAAATAGCGGGAGGACAGAGTGAGTAAGTAGCTTATTGTTTGGAGTGCTGAGAGCAGCCTATAAGGATGTTGTGCTGAGAATACTCTCCAACGTGAAAAAGAGACCCACAGGCAAACAGCTATTATCTCAAGTAATCTTCAGTGAAGAGGATGTGCCTATGAAATAACTTTTGGAGACCTTGTGTAATTCAATCCCTCAACCTTTGCTCACCAAGCTACTAGATCAGAAGAGAAATGTTCATAAACCCTTTTGAAGTGCACCAAAACATATGGAATATGGTGACTGAAGGAGGGGTTAGTGTGTGACCTAATGATGAGATGAACAAAAGAGGGAAAAAACATTGCACCACCTTTTTGCAAGTTCCATTTATCCATGAAATAAAAATTGCATTTGTATTTGCATTTCCATTACACAGAATTGCTATCTTCTGACTTACCAGCACAATGGTATTGTTTTATTTATTTAAACTGGATGGTTTGCTTTCCACAGTATGACCAGCTGTGAGAAAAATGGGATTCAATAATGTGAACATTTCACAGTAAATAAAATGCATTAATACAACAATATAAAAGCTGTGCTCAGCAGTTTCCCTAGGACAAAGTCTGTTCTAGAACTATGCATCAAGCTTTATAAACACTTGGAGAACTATAAAGGTTACATCTTATTGTGTGAAGTAATACAAAAATATATATAGAATTTCTGCTTAGGATTCTGCTAACTCACATCTCCCCATTTAAAAAGTTACATGTTTAATTGCCTGGTTTCAAGCAGAATATTTCTGCATCTCTATTTCTTGCTCATATTCACTACTGCAAGCTTCTCTTTAAAATCTTGCTGTGACTCATTCTTGAAGGAAAGAAAACAGTGAAGTCATGTCTTAGTTTGAAGGGTAGCAAAACCAAAATGAAAATGAAAACACTTACCTGCTTTTAATGCTCCCAGTCATCCTTTTTCTCCTTGACTACTTAGTAACATCTGCAATCTTTCTATTTCTGATCCAGTATGAAGGAAAAAGAAAAGCCTCTTGCAAATGTAGTGCTTGATTTTGGAAAAGCACATATTTTTCTTCAGAAATTACTAACTATTCATATGTTCATAAAAGCACCTCAAACACTTAAAAAAAACCCCCAACATTGTGTTTGTAGCTCTTTGTATTGCTCATTGCAATGGGGTAGTTCAGGATGGTGAAATCAAACATTTAATCTCATTATGAAATTATGTAGATAAAGTGTTACTTACAGTGATATATGGGAATAACAGTGTTTTATTATGGAGGATTTGTGGTGAACTCTTTTTTAATAGATAATACTTTAAATGATTGAGATTGTAAAATAATTAATATTTATGTCAAGCCACATCTGACTTTTTTTGAGAATATATTTCTGCATGCTTCCATAAGCATCTGGAGCATGAAGCCATAACCAAAACCTGTGGCAGAAAGGGATGGCAATCACTCTTATATTTTGTCTCTCAATAAAAATATAAATCACTTATAAATTCTATACCTCTCATTTCTACAGTGCACACACACTGGAATACTCTCTTTATCTTTCTGTAGAAATACATTTTACATGGTATATACACCCAGGATGAGATAAATGAATAAATTGAACAAAAAATACTGTAGCTATATTTATATTTAGCAAGACAACTGCAGCCTGCATCCTCTGGTGATGACAATTAGTAGGAAAGAGTAGAAATTATTGCAAACAAAAAACTTCTCACACATTATGCATAAGCATCGAGTTGATTTTATTCTAATGTTCCATGACATCCTCACAGCAGTCAGAAAGCTTGAAATGATTAAGCATAACAAAGATCTAAATACTAATTTTTCTTTTCATGCCACTGGTAAATTATAACCTTAAAAACATTGGGATTTCATTGGTGCCACTATTTGATGTTCATAAAAAAACAGAGGAATTTACATCTCCAGTTCTATTTATATATGCTCTTTAATTCTATTTTCGTGCATAAAAATAGAAGCTTTGCATCACCTCTTCTGCAAGGGTGAAATGAAGAGTTTCCTCATATTATTGTCTTTAAGCACCACTTAAGTCAAAGCAGAATGGATGCTTGAGCAGAGCCTTCAGCTGGGTAAGGGATGGCTCTGCTTCCTTTAACGCTCCTGCAGTTGTGATATCCTCTGGTGTGGATCTGAGGCCTCCAGTTTTTTATTTCTTGGCGCTTTTTTTTTTTTTTTTTTTTTTTTTTTTGCAAGAAGTAACTATAACAAAGCGAAGGTGGTAAAGATTTTCACATAGAAAATCTGGAACTTTCTGCAACAAACATTTTTTTCCCCCTGTTGCAGTATCCTCCTGTTGGCAGTAAACAAAATATTGAGCAGCCCTTCAAGGGGTTTGGCTCTTTATTCTGAGCTTTTCAAGGAAACTGATAAAATATCTAATTATTTGAATAATCAAGACAATGAGTATTTGATCACTACTATCAAAGATAAACCATAATTCAAGAGCTGAGGTATATGCTTAATATTGCATCACTCATAAAACAAAGAAAGTTATAATTCCCTTGAAAACGTGTTTGTTAAAGGTCTTTTGGAACAGTGGAATGGAGAAATACTGGGCATTAATTTATATATATTTATTTAATTATCCAAAACTTGCCATTCTGTCATTTGCCAAGATGTTGGATGAAAGAAATCATGGTCTGTTAAGGGCAATAATTTCAAACTTGGACACAATGGTCTGAAGTCTAACCAGACATTATGAATAATGTTAGTTTTTACACGTCTATATTTTTTATTATTATATTTCTTATAACTATTGTTTATAATAATCCAGTCATGGAGGTTGGATTATCTGTTTAGTGTCAATGAAGTAATTTTGTTCCTGATTCTGATGGAGATACACTGAAAAGTGATTATGGAACATTATCATTGCCACTCCCTGATAGCTCCTGTTTGCCCTTCTCTTCCCAGCATCCTAAAGAGAAGCCAGTTTAGCCTAATCTCCCTTTTCCCACATCATCCCTCAGCACCCCAGCTAGCACTGATTATTAAAAATACATTTCGATGTGACCCAATGCTCAATCTTGAGCCAGCCAGGAAACAAAGCAGCCATTTCTATTTTAATATTTCAAACACACCTTAAACAGTCTGGAGATCACATCAAAAGCAGTTGCTGCCTAGAGAGCCACTGTCAACTTTATGAAGCCTTGTGCCATGACAAGTTGTTCCTATCAAGATGCCCATCAGCTTTAATTATCTGGTTGCAGATAATTAAAACTATTAACTACTATCTGTTGAGACACAGGGAACTGCAAATGCAGAAAGGCCACTTAATTGAACCTGGGCTGACTGAGAAATGTGGGTTTGGACCCTTCCCTCCCTTCTGCAGTCCCTGGAACAAATCCTGATTCCAAAAGCCAAAGTGGCTGGCTCAGGTGTGTTCAGACCTTGGTTTGTCACCCACCCCTTTAGTGAGGCAGAGCAGTGAGTGCCACACTGCACAGAGAGAGCCCAGCAACGTGCTCAGAGCTCCAAACCCACTTCCCAATCCCTCTTTTTACACATTGCATCCATTTCTTGTTCATTTTACTGTGTGCGTTCCCACTGATTAGATCTCAAGTCATGCATCTCCCACTCACATTTAATCTTCTTTGTTACTTAGATCCTGAGTATACCAAGCATGACTCTGAGCTTCATTTAGTCACAGAAATGTTATGTATTTTCAGCAATATATTTGAATGTTTTCTGCTGTGAATGTCCTCCCTGTGCAGTGCTCAGGTGTCTGAGTGATTGCCAATGCTCTTTAGTGGACTGCAGACACCTTGTTATTAATCTGAGTAACTGCTCACCACTCATATTCTCAAGAATCCCATCACTTCTGCTACATAGCAACAATATTTGGGCTTTTGAGTTACTGAAATGCATGTAGCAATATTTCACACCACGTCCTAAGCCAGGTTCTCAGGCAGAAAACAGCTGCAGTTATGCAGTTAAAAAAAAAAATAAATCCAAAACTTCTGTGTTTAAAAGTGACTTGTGTTCATTTTGTTTGGATAAATTTTGATGGAAATGAAAATTCATAACCCCCCTCAGAAGAGAAATCTTCCCAAACCTTCTAAAAATTTGCAGCTGGACAAAGAAAGTGAGGTCATTGCATCACTGCCCTTAGGGACATCAGGACAGTGGGTGGTGGCAGTGTGATTTGGCCACCCTATCTGTCCCAAAATGGATGTGAAAGAAGCAAAAAGGCCAGCTGTGTTATGTTGACCACACTGTCAGTTTAAAGACTAAAATATTTTATGGATTTCATCTCAATTAGTAGATCCATAGTGAATAAATGTCCAAGTGAAAGGCTAAGAACATTAAAGGAGGTTTATTTACCCAAAGAGCCCTCCAAATCTATTATAGTATTCTCCATTGTAAAAAAACCCCACACTTTCATTTGAGGAACAATAGCACAAATTGCAGCTATTCCCTAGCAGAGACAAAACTTACTTTAAAGAAAGCAACACAACTACTATTATAATTTCTGCTGTTAAGAAATAATTTTAAATTGCACTTGTGCCTACACCTTTACGTGGAGATCAAAGACCAAATTTAATAAGAAATTATCTCTTATAAAAAGAGGCCCATTCTAAGGAATGCCTAAAATAAAAATGGGCATCGAGACATAATATGTGTACAGTCAGTCCTAGAGCTTTTCACAGAGCTGCTGCTGCTCTCTTTTATCTTACCATACCTTAAAAGCAGCTTTTCTTCCTGTCTATGCCAGCTCTTCCACAACAGAAGCTCAGCAGGAATCCTCAGGGTGTGATCCAGCAGCTGCCCTTGGACATCTCAGTGCCACAAATCCACTGCAGAGGGGAGAGAGGGCACTGGTGGGGAGAGGAGTGGCAAAGCACAGCATTAACACACCCCACAAAAAAACCTTGCCAAAAAAATTGTAAACATTTACATGAGAGAAAAAAGGAAATTTAAGGTAATTTAGATACAGCTTGGCTAAAACATAAGGCAGGGAAAGCAGCCAGCAGATATTTTAAGGCCAGGTTTGCACAGGAAATACTTAGAATGGGAATACAAAGAACTGTGAAACATTGTGTAAATGGGAGAGATCAAATGAAGGGAAAATTAACAAAATGTATTTGACAGCAAGGTTGTGTGTCTGCTTCATTACGATTTTCTGAGGAAGCATTCCAACCTGTTTCACTGGGTAAAGTAAGACACAAAATGAGCTGGGCAAAAACAGAAGGAAATGTACTACAGAGAAAGTGCAGCAGTCAGAGGTGGAGCATGAGACATTTCCATCCCTTGAGTACCCATTTCCTGGCTGGTGTTTCACTCTGATTCTTTGTTTCCCCCCTTGGAACCACCAACCTCCCACCACAAAGTGATCCCAAACCATGGGACAAACATCCAAAGACCTGCTTGGGACACTGATGCCACTGTAACTTCCCTGTCTGTGCCATTTGTGCCTCTGGAAAGAGGCAGCAACTGGGGTTAAGTCCTGCAAGAAATAGCCAGAAATTAACTGCTCCATGATGAGATATAAAAATGTAATCCAGTCCTGATAATGTGTATAATTTCCCTAGTCTTTTTTCATAATTTCATGGAAAATATTCTTGAGCATTTCACACAGATTATTAGAGAACACTTAATTTATACTGCTAAGTACTGCCTTAAAATACCTTTACCAGAGATTTCAAAGTGACAAACACCTGTCTTATCATTCAAGCATAGGTTTCCACCAGACCAAAATAACAAAATGATAATTTCTGAGGCTCTGAAAGAAAATGGGAGTAGTAAAAATCATCACAGAATTAATGTTTTAATATTCCAATATCATTGTCGCTTAATAAGACTGAGGTTTTGAGAATGAACTTAAAGCATAAATCCCTAGAAGAGACTTTCAGAAGCCTAACATTCAGTTAAAAAAAAAAAAAATCAGCTTTAAGGTTTTAAATGTCCCTGTCAATAGAAAAGCAAGGAGAGGATGTAATTACACACTACTACAAACAAGAGTAGCTCAGATTTTTAGGGAATAGAATTCTTGACAACGTTCAAGGTTTAAAATTGTTCCATCCAGCATAGCAGTTTTATAAAACCCCTCAAGTTAGACAATTGTTGGTGCAAAGATTCCCCCTTTGTGGAAGGCAGTCGAGATGCTTAGTGAGTCCTGGCTCAGACCTGTTTGCAGGGATGCTTTCCATGAGACACTTCAGTTTCTGGGAAATAGGGTAGTTTATCTCAACAGAAGATTGTCTTGTCTCATGAGGCCTGACTGGCCCATTCCTGCTTCATTCCTATAGGAGGTTGCTTAACACTGCTGCTTATTTTTATTTGTAGAAGTTAACATAAAAATAAAATCATGCTTCTACTTAAAAAAAAAAAAAAAAAAAAAAAAAAAAAAAA